CCCCCTTAACAACTGTATTAAATAATAGAAGCGCTGAAGTTGCGCTGGGAGCGAAGAAGTCCAGTAATAGTGCGTGCTCAACTCAAAACCCTAAATTATACAGGTGATGCTCACCTCCTGCACGCGAATTTGCCTTGCACCGGATGGAAACCTTGCACCCGGTTGGTTTTGTGCCGTGCAGCTGCACCCCATTTACAAACACCTCGAACAAGTTTCCACCTAAACCAGCCAATACTAGCAACAGAAACCGAGGTTTGACTGAGAAGACTGAAGTCAAAAAGTCAACGATGAGTTACACCTGCTTTTCATAAGCCCATTTTGTTAGGTGCGAATTGACGAAACCTTAGCGAAATGCAAAAACCTCTTATAAGCCCAGAGCACAAGGCAAAGCTGGGTGCGCCAAACGAGCATCATTTGTATCAATTTTCACATTTTCTTGTCGCAAACAGTTGAGCTGTATTAAAGCCGTGGCCCAACTATCAGCTTCAACTTTGAACTATTATAGCTTGGAACCTGGTTGTCCCAGGCAGTTCTGTGGCGAGAAGTTTGTCTTTTCCGAGATTCCATTTTTTTCATCCAATAAGGGTCTCGTTACGCACACTTCATGTTTGTCCTGCTACTGTTCCTAAGAAGTTGCACCCCGCCTTTAACAGACTCGGTAAAGTCAAATCAGAAGGTGACCAGACCTCTAGTGCCAGCTGGCCAGTGTGGCCAATCGTTCAGCAACAAGTCAGCAGTTCACGGTTCGACAGGTTCCCGGCCAGATGTAATGAGCAGTTCGGGAATACACCGAGCCTCACATGTGTGCTACAAAACTTTAGTGCTGTACATCAAAGCTTGGGCGGTTCGATCTCCAGCAGAATCAACAAGACCTACAACTGTACAGAGCGCCGTCGCCACCATCTCAGTCATCGAAAAGGTCCTCCAATCACAACGATGGTGCCATTTCCTTCCTTCCCGTTCATCATGCGCGCCATTGGTCCCTGGATCTGCTGAAGAACAGACTAAAGCGGCTCGCCTAAAATGCAGAGACAGTGCAAGCTGTCAACAAGTCCGTCCAGGCACGATGCGCCTCTATTTTTGTCGCATTTCGCCAGATTGTCGCAATCGCAATGCCGCAACTGCAATCCGGACTTGTGACTGCTTGCCACCCATCCCCCATACATTTGCATAACATACTGTTGTTGAGGCTCAATGTGTCCATGGTGTACATGTTTTGTGAGATTTCGCACAATTACTCTAAAATACATCATTTACACACATACACTGTAACATTCGATTTCAGCATTGATTCCGCACTTGTTGTCGAAATTTGATTGGTTTCAGCGTTGATATGCTACTGTATTTGCATGCCTTCATGTGCTTACGATTGTGGCTCAAACGACATCAAGACCCCTCAGGGCACGTTCTGGGCTCTGGTAAACTTCGGGAGCCCCACTTTTGTTCATCCAAACCCAACCTCAGGTCAGCAATTGTGCCGAGTGGGGTGCACTTGACCGAAAGCCTCTGGCCTCCAACTGTCTGATTAACTACGGTTGTTTGTTTGACCGGAGCCCAGAACGCGACCTCACCACTGTGGATGAATAATTCATGTGGTGATCATTGTTGGGGATAAATCTTCCAGAACAATGAGTAATTGAAGGATAAACACTCAACTATTTCGGGACATTGGGTACACATGCAGTATGTCTGCTCGTTGTTTCCAGTGCTTGCAGATCACCTGAGGTTGAAAACACTGAAACTGCACCATGCCAATCGGGAAATAAGGACGTGGTGTCAATCGACTTTGATCGGTGCGATCAGAGGCGATCAAAAGCTTCGAGGAGGGCGGGAAGCAGATTTCCGGCAATCGGGGGCAATCAGCTGATCGCGATCAGCTGATCGCGCCAACTCAATCAATCGCCTCAAACAGCCTGATCAGACCCGATCAGACACAATCAGCCCCAATCACTTGATTGCATGTGATCGGCGACCTGGGCGACGCACGCGAAATGTAACACGTCTCGCCCTGAGGTCTCGAAACTCCTTGCGAATACACCCAGATCGGCGATAACTGTATGTCATAGCCATCGTGCGGACCTTGTGCGGTGCGGGCGATGTTGGCGACATTACCACGATACTGAGATTCGTCCGTCTCGCCAAAGTTGGGATGCAACTACCAGGTTATGGGCCGACAGTTTTCATGCAAGAGCGCGAAACATTCGATGAAAATCATCTCTGATCTTGCGGCGCGAGGAAAACGAGCACAGGCCATCCGATCCGACCCAATCCGATCCGACTAGAGCCGAGAAAAGTCGATTGGGCTCACGTCCTAAGCACTGAAAGTCGAAAGCTAACTGAACAGTTACTGTAGCAGACTGAAAGGGTAGCCCCGTAATCAAAACAAGGCAGAATGTGTCGCGGCGCGGGTCGATCATGCGACAATCACACGAGACTGGATGCCCCTCGCATGCGACAGCGGTTCTGCGTTTCGTTTCCACCAAACTATACAGTCGATGCTCAGCCTACTACAAAACATTCGTCTCCAACAATTAGAAATTTAGTCACTCGCGAACGTTTTGCCCGTGAGTGACTAAATTGACCATTGTGCCGATTTCAGGGTACAGTCACCAAGTTGAGGAAGAAAAACATCTACAGTTCATAAACAACAACGGTTGCCCGTCATCAGAGAAGTTAACCTGGTTACGAATTTAAAGCCCTTAACTCGATTCACGTTGCAATTTCATATTACAGTCACGTTTTTGCCCGTGGCGACAAGGGCGAACGTGGCGAAATATTTAACTCTCCCACGCATGTGCCGCCCGCTTTTCTGGTGTTCTCGAAATGGGCAACGGTTGTAGTTGCCTTGCCAGCCACTTGGCTCGGCATTTCTTCTGGTTGCGCGGATCCCTCCCTTCCATGTCATCCATTCTGTTGTGCAATGCAATCTCGCCCTCTTGTCCTCTACATAACACCCATTCACCACCACTGAACTGAACATTCCCCGTTGCTATCTTTGGAGCTAATACAAATGTTCTCGTTTATAGTCCCACGGATCAACATCGCCGCGCGCGGACTATGTGGCAAACCCTTCAAACCCCAGGCAAGACGCGATACTTTTAGTCCCGTTCAGGAAATTGCATGAAGAGTGGTTACTTTGCTACTAGTTTCTGGAGCCTGGCATTTACGTAGATTTGGACCGCGCTTGCTTCAACTTCCAGTCGCACGGTTTTCCACGCTGATCAATGTCGCATGACTAACGGTCAAAACAAAACAAATTCAAATATGGTTTTGGGGTCGAATAGTAACCCAGAAACTTCGTTTCTACCCTGTAAGCGAGATAAATGAGATGTCATCGTGCTGGAGACAGCGCGACAGGATTGAGAAGTAGACGCGGTCAAGAGAAACAAATACTTATAATCAAAAGATTAAAATATTGAATCGATTATCTCTTCTTCATCGTTTTCTTTGAATGTTGGGCTGGTTTGATCTGGAGCCTCTGATTGGCTGCGGAGCTGATTCGTGCAATGATTCCGTCAAGCTGCAAAATTTCCTGCCAAAATCAGGACTATAGGGGTCGGGCCAGCCCTAGGCTATATCGGAAAATTTTACTCAGGGGGGAAAAGGGACTCTCTCAACGAAGGCCTCTAACCCGGAACATTTGTACGTGTACTCGTCTAGTCTCGTGTACATGCCTCAGCGCTTTATCTCCCAAAGCTTATCCTCGCGTCTCAACTTCCTCTCATACACCTCGTTCCCACCATATCCGCAATTCGCCCTTTTTCCTTCAGCGACCAGTGAGATTGCCTCTCCTCATCCTCCCTCGCGAACCGCACTGAGTGGCCTTAATCTCCGTCCTCGCATTGCCTTTGTTTTCGACGACGACGCGCCGGCCTACCGCCAATGAGGAGTACGTATTACATCATGCCCGGATCCGGAATTACGACTCAGGGAATGAGGTGAATCCTCACATGGACGATATGAATTGCGTCGACGCATCATCTAAGGGCGGTATTGCCGATGATAATGAGAACACCGTTACTTGATATTCTGATTTCTGAGCGCATTGGGTGACAAGCAATCACGTCCTTGGAGGAGTTCACTTTTTTTGTTGTTTCCCCAGGACCAGAATCGTAGGAACAGTCGCAGTCACGCGTTGTCAGCCATGGATCCGCCCTCCTGTAATTTCCTCTGCTCTCGACGGATTTGTCGCTAGCGAACCACGGTATTAGTGCGCCCTCATCATCTCTGCCGGCCCCGCTGCCCTCCCCGCCGGCAGGCCGTCCTGTCGCGCTTAACTCACGATCCAGCAGCAGCAAAAGAGCTCGGTTCGCTGCTACTGTCGACCAGCTTTAACCAGCACAGCAGCGGTTGTTCGATTCCTCATCTTAAGAGGAACGGCTGGGTCAACACTTCAAAACAGTGTCCGCCGCAGGCAGGAAAACGCGCCCGGTCTGGCGCTGATTCTTAAATCAGCATTGCATTCCAGATTCTCTCCTGAAGATTCACGAAAACAGACGTCCGTCGCTCGTCGCCCGCCATCCGTCGTCCCGTCGACCGTCGCCGTCATCCGTCATCCGTCGCTCGTCGCGAGGACCCTGGCCGAAACGTGTGATCCGAGGGTGTCGGATGACGGATGACGGATGACGGGGTTTTAGCTCTGGTATTAGGGGCTGGAAGTCGGGTGTCAGCAGTCAAGCTCACCTTTACTAGTATTATTGTTTCTGAGCCGTCTCGAAGCGAGACCTGTAGCACTCGGAAGGTTGACCGATACCGCAGGGCTAGCTTTGAAAGCGGAGAACGAGCGCGAGCTGCAGACCCTGCTGCGCGGTCACCGGCGTGAGTTGCGCGGAACTTTGCGCCGCCGGGCGTATAGCCGTTTCGCATCGCCCCCGCGGTCTCCTCACTCCCCCGCTCCCGCAGTCCCCCGCCGCGCTTCAACGCAGTCCCCGCTGTTTTCAGCTGCGCGCCTCTGTGACCCGCGGTCCCCCCTGTCCCGCATTGGTTCCCCCCGGCGGAACATGACTGTGCGACGAACGAGCGCCAACCAGCAACTGGCGGACGCTTTGGCGGACTCGTGGTCAATCAAGGCGGAAGCGGCGGAAGAAACCGCGGGCGCGGGCACAGGCAGCGGAAGCGCGGCTGCGGCCGCGGCATTGAGCACCCAGCGCGCGGAGGCGGAGCTGGCCAGCGCGGAGGTGTGGGCGGAAGGATCTGGTGCGTTGCGCGGGGGTGTTGCTCCCGCTGAAAGCCCCAGCGGTGGAGAGAAGCGCGCGGTGTCGCAAGAGTTTGCGACATTGGCGGCGCCAGCAGCGGCCGATCCAACTGATCTCCTTAACGTTCATTGTGCATCCGTGTCGCCCCACGTGTCAGGAGGACTCGTTGATTACCAGCAGCATCCCTCTGGACTCGCCTTATTGACGGACCAATTGGAGCCAGGAGAAAGAAGTGAGGTTAATCCTGACCGTCGACTCGCGGATCTGGAAGCGTATCCTTTGGGTGACGTGGAAGTGGCCGCGACTTGCGGGCCGAAGGACACGTGGCAGAGCGGGAGCAAACGGCGAGCCGCGCTAATGGATCTAACGAATGTGACTGTCCGTGATGGTGACCGTAACGGTGGTGGGCGCGTGGGCGGTGCGGGAGATCGTATCGGAGGAGAGAAGGCGGGACGGAGGGAGACGGTAAATCGAGAAGGGGGGAAAACGAGCGGGAATAGCGTGGCGCGACAAAGAAACGATTCCGATGAAAGAAGAAGCGGGAGGGACGTCATAGGCGGAGGAGAAGGAGGAGGACGCGGCAGCGGAAGCGGAAGCGGCGGCAGAGGCGGAGGCGGAGGCGGAGGAGGAGGAGGCACGGCATGGTGGGAAGATCTTAGGAGCTTCCCAGCCAAAAGAGCAAGGGTAGGTGGTGGACGCGGGAATGGAGTGTTTTGAGTCGACTCATAAACACACGGCATGGTGGGAAGATTCTGGGAGCTTCCCAGCGAGGGGAAGAGCGAGGGTAGGTGGTGGATAGATTGCTTGTTGCTTGTCGTTGTGGGCGATGGGGAATGCAGGGGTGTGTCAAGATGGAGATAGTACTGAGACGAGACGGCTACTGAGATGAGATGTCTCAGAAGCGAAACTGTCAAATGCGCCCTTCGGTTCTGCGTGCCTTATAAGGTCAAAATCACTTCGCGCTCTTCCCCCCCTTCCCCTCTCTACTTCCTCCAAACCCAACCTTCCCCACTTTTTTCCCCTTTCCTCCCCACATCACCCCCCTGTTGTCTGTGCGCGCAGATCGCCCCCCCCTCGCCCCCCGCATTCCGCGGGACAGCACCGGAGCCAGCGGCTCTGGATGCTGCACTTGCTTGCGCACACCCGACATTGGAAGCAGGCGCAGCAGAGGCAGCGGCAGGAGGAGCAGCAGTGCAGAGAGCAGCATCACCATCATTACCACCACCACCATCAGCAGCAACAGGCGGGTCGTCCCCCCGCCATGTCTATGTGTTTGGACAAAGCATCGCCACTCTTCCCTCCTCTCGCCCCTCTCGCCCCGCCCCTGCTCCCTCCCACTTCCCCGCACCCAACCCTTCCACGCTCCCCCCTCCCCCCTCGTCGCCGTGCCCGCCTGCACCTCCCTCTGCGTCAACCGCCGTGCCTCCTGCTCCCCCCACTGCTGCTGCTGCTGCTGCTGGAGCAAGAACAGCAGCAGCAGCAGCAGCAGCAGCTGAAGCAGCGGGAGCAGCGGGCGTGGGCCTGTGGCAGTGGCGGGAGCAGTGCTTCCTGCTGGCCGCAGAGGAGGACGCGGAGGAGGAGCATTCTCACAGCCCTCTCACTCTACACCCTGCCACGCGGGTTGGGATGGGTCTGGGACACGGGGACAGTCAGTGTGTCGGTGGTAGGGGCGCAGATGGGAATGGGGAGGGGGGTGAGTGCAGGGATGGGGGCGGAAGGGGGTTGGGAGCGGTTGAAAGGAGGGATGGTGCAGGTGATGTTGGTGCTGGGGTGGAATTGTGGCGAGAGGAGGGGGGATGTGCGAAGGAGAGTGAGTGTGCGAGGGAGAATGAGGGTGGGAGAGAGAGTGAGGGCGGGAGAGAGAGTGAGGGTGGGAGAGATATTGAGCATGGGAGAGAGAGTGAGGGAGGGAAAGAGATTAAGCATGGGAGAGAGAGTGAGGGAGGGAGAGAAAGTGAGTGCGGGGGAAGGAGCAAGCCTGTGAGAGAGAGCGAGTGTGGAGAAGAGAGAGAATTAGAAGGAGGGAGTGAACGTTGGGAGGAGGGGGAGTGTGCGAAGCTCGAATCATCCCGCGAGAAAGAGCATTTGGTGCTGCTGCAGAGACCATCCGTGATCCCCGAGAAAGGCGCGTGTGTGTGGAGCAGCGGTGCAAGAGAAGGAGACCAGCCATCATCCCCTCCTCATGATCTCCCTCCTTGCCCTGCTGCAGCACAGCACGCGGCAGAAGGCGAGGCCCTGCAGGAGCGAGTGGCGGAAGAGCGAGGGGAAGACGGGAAGTCTGGGAACGGACACAAGGGGATGGAGGAGGAGGGCCAGGCGGAGGAAGGCAAGTGTGGTGGGGCGCGTGAGGAGCGTGAGGAGCGTGAGGAGCAGCGGTTGCAGTCGCTGGAGTGCAGAACAGCTCACTGCTCCCTGCGTGCACGTGCCACTGCCGCCCCTGTTCCGGTGCTACCTGCCTCTGCCTCCCTTCCACCGTACCCCCTTTCGCCCTCCCCCATGGAAGAGCATCAGTGCCACGTGCCACCAGGACTACCAGCAACGGGAGCACCACCACCACCGCTACCACGACCGTCGCCACCATCGCCGACGCACATCATAGACATTGACAGTAACGACAGCGACCCGCAGTTCTGCACTCCCTATGCTGCTGACATCCACGCCTACCTCCGCATTGCCGAGGTGAGGCGCTGCGCAGCGCGGTGCAGTGCAGTGCAGCGCGGTGAGGTGAGGTGAGTTGAGGTGTGAGCCGAGGCGAGACGCAACGAGCCGCCGTGCTCACCTCATTCGATACTGCATGCACGCACGTTATCCTGTTCACGGATAAGTTTGACTTTTGAGGCGCCTCATAAGTTTGCAGCTCGCTGAGAATTATGTCAGAACACCAGCGACGTTGTCCTGCATGCATGCACCTTGTCCTGTTCACGGATGCACGTTCCACGACGTTTCGCAACGTCCCACGACGTTTCACGCCCGGTTGCCTCGACTCCTGCAAATCTCCCCCATTCATCCACCCATCATCCCCCCTCGTCCCCTTACCCTCTCTCTATCTCCCTCCCTCGTCTCCCCTTCCCTTAACCCGCTCCTCCCTTCCCCTCCCCATTCCCCCCATCCGCCCTCCCCTGTGCCCCTTCCCCATCCCCCCGTCCCCGTGCAGCGGCGGCACCAGCTTACGCACCAACTCCGTTCACCCCCCCTCCCGTCCTGTTCCGTCCCCTCTTCTTTGTCCCCTCCCCATTCCCCCCCATCCTCCCCCAACCCACCATCCCCTCGTCCCCCGTGCAGCGGCGGCACCGACCCACAATGGCGCTGGAGGAGGGGAGGGGGGGCGACATAAGCGCGGCGATGCGGGGCATTCTGATGGACTGGCTGGTGGAGGTGGCGGAGGAGTACAAGCTCGTGCCCGACACGCTCTTCCTCACCGCCGCCTACATCGACCGCTTCCTCTCCCACGCCACCGTCACCCGCAACCACCTGCAGCTCCTCGGCATCGCCTCCATGCTCATCGCCTCGTAAGCATCCTCAGCCCTCCTCTTCCCCTTCTCCCCTCTCCTCATCGCCTCGTAAGGCCCTTCTCTTCCCCTTCTCCCCTCCGCTCATCGCTTCGTATTCATTGCCCGCCTCCCCCTCCTCTCTGTGTATCGCATCACCTCGTAAGCAACATCCTCATTGCCTCTCTTACAAGGGGGTACGATCCCTCTCTTCTCCATCCGCGCACTCGCATGGAGTACCCCCTCGCCCCGTTCTCCATGACCTGTCCGCCCTCACCTCTCCCGTCTCTTCCTTCCCCCTCCCCCCTCTCACCGCTCCCCATGGCAGCAAGTACGAGGAGATATACGCGCCGCAGGTGGACGAGTTCTGCTACATCACGGACAACACATACCGCCGCCACGAGGTGCGGATTGTTGAAGCACTTATGGATCCGTCAGTCAGCGTTGCTCGCCATGCTTCTCACCACTAATGGTGCTTGTGGTGGCATTGCATGAGCGGCGTGGCTGCAGGGCTTGCATCCTCGCAACTTCGAGTGGGGGTAGGAAAGACGGGATAGAGAGGAGGTGGGGAAAGGGAGGGGGAGAGGAGCGGGACGGGAGGGGAGAGGGGAAGGGAGAGGGGAGGGGAGAGGGGAGAGGAGTTGCAGGAATGGCTGATGCACCTGCGTCTCAACTTTGTTTTGAGGCGCCTCAAAACTGCACCGGCATCGTAACTTCAAATCATCATGCTATCATGATCGTATATGCGCCTCAAGACTCGTTTGAATCTGTCATGCTGTAGGACTGAGTGTTCCCAACAGTGACTCGCACAAGTGAAATCCACCTCACCGCTCTCCAGCCTCCAACCCCGTCTCTCCGTTCCCTCCCTCTCCCGTCCCCGCTCCCCCACATTCCTCTCCTCACCTCGTCTCCTTGTTCCCAGGTGATCAACATGGAATGGCGCGTGCTGCTACAACTAAACTCCAAACGGTCGTTTGTTTTATAGACCTTGAACAACAAGCCCCCATCTCTACAACAACCCACCCAGGATCGTTCCCCCTTCTCCCCTTCTCCCCCTCTCCCCCTTCTCCCCTTCTCCCCCTCTCCCCCTCTCCCCCTCTCCCCGCAGGTGATCGACATGGAGTGGCGCGTCCTGCTACAACTCAACTTCGTCCTCGCCACGCCCACCACCAAGAGCTTTCTCAGGTCCGTGCTTTTCACACGTAGTTACCATTGTTGATCCTGTTTCTCGAGAGTTATCTTCAGGAAATGTTCATGCACTGCTGCCCTTCTATTATGAGTCAGGAAGATCCCTCTTTCTATGGTTTCTTCTCAAATCTCATATGTAGGTGTATGTAAGTGTATCTATGTGTATGTAAGTGTACAGAAGTGTTTGTAAGTGTATATAAGTGTATGTATGAATATGTATGTATATGTATGTGTATGTAAGTGTATGTATGTGTATGTAAGTGTATGTAAGTGTATGTATGTGTATGGATGTGTATGTAAGTGTATGTAAGTGTAGGTAAGTGTATGTATGAGTATGTATGTGTATGCATGTGTATGTATGTGTATGTAAGTGTATGTATGTGTGTGTAAGTGTATGTATGTATATGTATGTCTTTGATGTGTAAATGTGTGTTTGTGCCTGTGCCAGTGCCTAGTGGTGGATGTGGGAGGAGGGGTGAAGCAACATTGTTCTATTCACCAAGCCTACCAGGCCCACCAAGCCTACCAGGCCCACCAAGCCTACCAGGCCCACCAAGCCTACCAGGCTCATCAAGCCACCCTCATTTGAATCCGCATTTTAAGGCGCCTCACAAGGTTTCTCATTTCATATCCTCTGTCTGTCTCCATATCCCATCACCGCAGGAGGTTCATACGAGCAGCACAAGCGACTCTCCAGGTACTCTTGCTTACTCCTCCATTTCCCTTTCTTCTTCCCCCCTTGTCCAATCCGCCCCACAAACCCACCCTTGGTATTTCTTAGCATTGAACGTAAGTTGACTTTCGAAACTCAACTCAAAAGTCGAGACTCGTAAGTTGTTAGCTCACACCTGTTTGTTCATCTCGAAGCTCAACGAATCCATTCTCAGACATTGAAAGCACCGTCTAGGATATTGGAACGTGGAACGTTACCAGGAACGTGGTAATACCCGCCCCACCCGCTCAGACCACTCGCTCCGTCTCAGCCTCGTTCCTCGCCGCTTCTCCTTTCACCATGCAGCTTCGTTCTCCCTCACTCCTTTCACTTCCACCCCTTCCACCCCCCATTTTCCCGTGTTCCTCCTCTTCAACCCCATTTGCCCTCCTCTTCCGTCTCCCTGCCACTCCACCCATCCGTGCAGGCCCCATCACTGCAGCTGGAGTTTCTGGGAAACTTCTTGGCGGAGCTGACACTGCTGGACTGCACGTGTGTGGCCTTCCTTCCCTCGCAAGTGGCCGCGGCAGCTGTCTTCCTCGCCAAGCTCACTCTCTTCCCCTCGCTACCACCCTGGGTATCGCTCCTCACGCCCTACGGCCTCACTCCTCCTCACTCCCTCTCACTCCTCCTCACTCCCTCTCACTCCTCCTCACTCCCTCTCACTCCTCCTCACTCCCTCTCACTCCTCCTCACTCCCTCTCACTCCTCTTCACTTCTCACTCCTCCTCACTCCCACTCACTCATCCTCTCTCCGCACTCCCTCTCACTCCTCACTCCTCACTCCACTCCTGACCCTGCATACACACTTGCCCCTCCTTCCACACGCCTAGGCTAGACCATGGAAACCAGCGCTTCCCCAGCAATGGCCGTGAGTTGCTGTTGGGCCTTGCAAAGCATGTGCGCAACTGCAATTGTATTGGAATTCTTAAAAAAAAGCGTTCCAAAGCATGTGCGCAGCTGCATATCTCCACCCCTTCTATCCTTGCTACCCCCCTCGTTGACTTTCTCCACCAATCACCTGCTGCGCCAGCCACATTTGCAGCACCACACTCACAGGGTTAGTACCCTGTCTGGTGCAAGCTGCGCCAGCCACCCTACACGCATGCAAGCGGCTGGTGGAACATCTTAGGTGCCAAACAGCCTCTTTTCTTCCTCTCCTGTCCCCATACCAGACGCAAACCATGCAGCACTACACATGATACAGCACGTGCAAGCCGCTGGTGGGGCATCTCAGTGCGAGGCAGATTTTCAGGCGCCTCAAAACTCACAGCCTCTCCCCCGATCCCCCCTTCTGGCTTCTCACTACCAGACGCCAACCCTGCAGCATTACACAGGGTACAGCGTGGGCGAGTTGGAGCAGGCAGTGCGAGTGCTGCATGCACTGCACGTTGCCGTGCCGTCCACCACTTTGCCGGCCATCCGAGCCAAATACAGCCAGACCAAGGTGTGTGCTGCTGCTGCTGCTGCTGCCGTTGCTGGTGGAGATGTCAGTGGTGATGTTGACGGTAACTCTGCTTCTCTGCACCTGGTTCTGTGCTTCTTTTTGAGTCGTGACGCTGCTGTTTTCGTGATCCTGTTTTCATGATGCTGTTTCTGTGGTGCTGTTTTCGTGATGCTGTTTCTGTGATGCTGTTCTCGTGATGCTGTTTCTGTGGTTTTGTTTTCGTGATGCTATTTTCGCGATGCTGTTTTCGTGATGCTGTTTCTGTGGTGCTGTTTTCGTGATCCTCTTTCTGTGGTTTTGTTTCCGTGATGCTGTTTCCGTGATGCTGTTTTCGTGGTGCTGTTATCTTGATGCGGTTCATCCCCCCTCACACATTCTTGTCGCCCCGCTCTCCGCTCCTACATTCTTGCCGCTCTCCGCTCTTCCTCGCTCTTTCTGCTTATCTCCTCTCCTACGTACTCACCCTTCTTCCTCCCGCCCGTATCTTCCACTTCCCTCCCCCCCTCTCCCCTTTCCCCCCTCCCCTCCCCGAGCAGTTTCAGTGCGTTGCCTCCATTCCCCCAGTCTCCCCTACTGTCCTCACAGCTGCCTTCTCACCACCTGCTGCCACCACCTGACTCCTCGCAACCCCCTACTCCTCGCACCCCCCTCCTCGCACCCGCCTCTTCACCTGCTGCCATCTCCTGCTGGCATCACTGCTACCTTCTCACCATCTGACTCCTCCCACACACGTCCCCATCTCCTCACCTGCTGCTGCCCTTTTCGGTCGCTCTGCCTGCTGCCACCAGCTGCTTCCTAGTCGAGTGGAAGGAGGAAGGTAATGGGGTAATAGGGGGGTTGGATAGGAGGGAAGTGCGAGGGGAAGGTGGTGGGTTTGGGTGGTGGGTTTGGGTGGGGTGGGAGCTACTGGCGTGGGCTGCTAGGGCTGTGGATAAGAGGTTGTGCTTTGGAAAACCACCAGGTTGGTTGGTTTGAGGTGGGAATGGGGGACCTGGGGTTTGCACCTATTGGGGATGGTAATGAGACGTGTCTCTGGTGTGTAGGGGAAGTAGGTTCGACGCACACAGGCACACACACGTGCACACATACACATGTGCGAATGCACGGTATGCATGTTCATGCATACACACACCTACACGTACCGTACCTATGTACCTTCAAACCTACCATAGTAAGCATGCAGATGGAGCATCCTCTCCAAGCTCTTGCAGCGATTGGAGCAATGAAGGCCCGCATTTTCTCCGAAGGGTAGGAAATACTTATTTTACAAGGTGCCGCAGTGCCAGAGGAAGCGATGGCGACATGTTACGAGTGAATTGAGTGCCTCGATATAAGCACATGGCATGATTACATCGTTCCACGCGCTCCTTCAAATTTAGTAGCTGCTGCTCAAGAAGAATATAAGTATTCATGATGGTTTCGGTTGTAACACAAATTCTTTTTGTTGATCTGCGTTTGGGTTCAAGTAGAGGTAGTGGTTGCTGCAGGTTAGAGTACGTGCATGCTGGTACCATATGGTATCCCAAGGTAAGTCTAGAAGACGTTTTGACGAGAGGGATACAGTTTACGGTTGGTACCCTAAGTAAAGGTTTACGTTTTTTTCTACGACAAACAAATACAAGGGCAAAATTCTGCAACGCGCCGGCGCGCGAACTTCTCTCAATCCCATCGACCAGCCTCGCACCGCAGGTAGGGCGACCGAACTCCTCGCAAATGAATCGACCTACGCGCGCTTGCGCGATTTTGTCATCAAATTAAATGTGTAATAATTGGTGGTCTTCCAAATTGTCACTGTTTCGCGCGGGATATTTTTTTTTGTATTCGGTAGGTGAAAATGCATTATACAACGTACAACGCAAAACAATGTCAGTCGTAACCGGAGCTAGAGGGCATAGGTAGTGTATACCCTACCCTCGCAGAAATCTACGGAGGCTTATAGACCAAACGCCTAAAAACTTCAACTTGCCCGCCACAAAATCTAACTGTGCTGTTGCCACACTTCAACTATGGCAGAAACGCCTCGGTAGGTTTCAGGTTCTGTATCTGTTGCTTCAGCTTGGAAGAATTGGTTCCGAGCCTGCCCTGCCGTGCCTTGTAAAAAGGTTGGGTTGCAATAGAGAAAACCCTGGTTTAGGGTTGGGAGAGCAGAAATTGCCCTGGTTCGAAGTTGCTGCCTAGCAGCTGTGCCCCGTACACCAAAGCCTCCTATGGCAGGCAGTTGCGTGATCTGAATGGTGGGGGTAACCCCCATTTTCTGAGGGAAGATAGGAGCAGCTGCATCCGCGACAGAATTTTGAATAGCTTCACACACCGCAGTCGTAACGTGGCGCCATAGCCCTGTTTCCTCCAGCGACATAGGCTTATCATGAAAATGTTTTTCCGTAGAATCCACCATGATATGCTTCTTCATGTCAGCATCATGTTGCTATAAGTTGTCGCCGAGAAATATATAGAATTTTTTTTCTTGAGATGATAGTGAAGGTATTCGGAATATTGGTAGTTCTTGAACTGATATGGTCAGAGTCGATCGTTTGGAACATGATCTTGGTTCAGATTCGTAGTTATTCCTTGTCGTGCGTTGCCGTGATGAGCGTGAAGCTCTTGTGAATCGTGAACGATGTAGGAAGGCAGAAAGTGCTGCACTTGTAGTTCCTCGCGGGAGCCATTTTAAATATCCTTCACCTTGCGTTTGCTGCAAACAGGATGTATACACTGTCTTCTCAGAAACCATCGCTGATATGGATTTAGTCGCTCTTGACGGTGCCAAAAAACATGTCCGCGAGTAACGAGACGTTTCATTTCTTGTCTCTTGTCAAAGAATGGCAGAGAAGATTGATAGGCGAAAAATATTTGGCGGTCCAGCTGCCTTGTACTTTCTCGTCTCATGTCTTATGTCTGTTTTCCTTTTTAGGTTCCAGCTCCGATGATGACTTGTGCTAAGCCTGGGCATTATAGCTTCCTTAAAGTAACTAAATGTCTTGAGCTTAAAACCAGTTTAAGAACCTGAAAACAGATCTTCACAAGAGGAAATCACGACGAACCATTGTTCTCTGTTTGAACATAAAGTGGTGTCGAAATCAAGCCCTTGATGAGTAGACCCAAAACATGTATTCAAATCTTGAAGCTGATAAAGGTTAGCTTGACATTGCACGAGTTGAAGTTATCGTAGGAGCCATGGCGGAGAGCTTCTCTGAGCTGATGGATCAGAAAACTCGCTAGGTTTTCGTGGATGGGGAACACAGAAGATTGTTCGCGCGCGGGATAATGTTTGCCAGGTGGTGTTCGTGTTTTCGTAAATACAAGGTCGCAATTGTGGCTACATTGCCGTGACCTTACAAGTTTCGGTTGTTTTGTCTGTTTCTGATGGCGCAAAATTGTTTCGTGCGCGTGCAAGGTTTTTTGTCTACATGTTTTTCTTTTTTGGCGCATGTCAAACGCGATTTTCTAAAACATCTACGGAGCTCTGAATCTAAGGAGGGACTGAAAAAAAAACCCTTAAAGGCAGGAACGTAATTTGGGAGGCATCAACCCTGAATACAGGAAGCATGGTGTTTAGGGTTAATGCCTTGAATGTGGTGCGATTTGGGAGGGATCAACCCTAAACACGGGAACTGCCAAGGTGTTTAGGGTTGATGCATTGAAAGTGTGCCCGGCTCCCTACGGGGTTTAGTTCGTTTTACAGCGTACAAAAAAACAGATCAAACAGAAACAACATAAGACAAGAAAATTTGGTTTACACATCGCAAATTTGTTTGCGCGACCAGACAGAAGTGACGTCACACGTCGCAAATTTGTCTTTGATGAAAGCATCGAAACCCCAAGCTGTAATCCCGCGATTCTGGCCGTAAAACCAATGGCACCTGTAACGTCGATATGACCTCGCCTGCAGCATGAAAATAACGTGGAAGCGCATGTAAGTCGATCCATGTGGACGAGGTTCGGTCGCCCTACTTGCGGTGCGAGATTGGTCAATGAAAAAAAAAAAAAAAATCACGCGCCAGCGCGTTGCCCAATTTTGCCAAATACAAGGCTCCTGATTACACCCTGTTTCTCACTACTATGAGCTGTGCCGAACTGGTGGAAGACCTAGTTACCTTCGATTTGTCTGATTGAACCATACCGAGACTTTATCTAACCACTGTGAACCGTGCTTTTCCCATCTTGACTTCACTAAAACCGGATTCACAATGGCGAGAAAGAGGGTGGATCCATAGTACGCTGTATTGAACCACAGGCGTTGTTCAGTTCGTTGTGAGGGCGCTACTGTAGAGATTCGATTAGATTTTAAAGATTCTTTCTCCGCTCTCTGTGTGATATTCGTAACTGTACTTCGCCCTCGATTATCAGTCCAAGTTTCCTGATTGTTGCAGGGGTTTGTGACTAGTACACCGGGCTGTCTGCTGGTTTTGACGACTGTTGCTGCTGGCATTGAACGATGCAGAACTAATTCACAAACGCTGATTTTCAGGCTGAGATACTGGACCTGGTATCATGGGAGGGATGACCTGGTAGTACACCCGGAGATGTAGGGCTACAAGTACTGTACCAGACATTTAGCTAGATGTGACGCATGTCCACGACGATTCGGGAAAAGCTGATGTGCAGCTTCTGGGAGAGGCGACGATGACACCTACTGTCGAGTACAGTGCTCGCTCACAAGAAGTGGAAGCGGTTGTGATGGCTGTAAGAACTGCGAATCGCGATCCAGCCCGAACCCAATAAGCTTTCAGCACATACAGTACAGCTGTTTTGGGACGCCTCGCAGCGCAGCCAGCTAGTACCCGCATGACGACAAACCTGTCGGACAGCTCACGAGAGGGAGCAGCGCTGAGTTGACAGCCACAGCTGCATTGGCGCGCGAGGGGGGGGGGGGGGGGGGGGGGGGTGGAGCCACAACAGTACCACAGGAACGGTGTGATTGCGTGTTTCGAGGCAAGAGGTTTCGGGCCAGGCGGGTGCTGAGGAGGATTGAAGCAGCTTTCAGGCTCCATGTGCGGGTGTACACTCGGGCAACAGGGATAAAGCTGAACATGAAGGGTGACTTGAGGCAGGGCGGGAAGACATACGCGCTGGCAGAACAGGAGGGTCGGCTCCTTGGACGTGTCCGGTCTCTGAATGGCAAGGGCTGGAAATGGTCCCATCGCTTTGGCGCGCTGTGGAATCTTGCGCGAGGGGCACTGCATCCCCCTTAGAGTCGTCCCCTGAGGCTGGCACGCTGCCGGGCCTCTCACGCTCAGTTACGACTGATATATGTTTGTATGCACTAGCATCATCGGTGTATATCTTAACATATTTAAAAAAAAAAAACAACAGTACCACAGAACAGAGTTTTGCATGCATACTTAGTCGTGCGATGTTTTTAATGCATCTGCCCAAATCCCTGGCAGAGTAGCGCAACACGCCAGCATTTGATCTTTTTTCAATCTTATCAACCAAGTTTCCACCGCAGGTAGGGCGACTAAACCCCTCGCAAATGATTAATTTACACGCGATTACGTGATTTCGACAGCCATTTCAATGTGGAAAAATGGGTTTTTTTCCAAACTGTCACTGTATCGCTTGGGGTAATGTTTGCCAGGTGGTTTTCGTGTTTTCCTAAAACAGGGTCGCTATTGTGGCTACATTGCCGTGACCTTACAAAGTTTCGGTTGTTTTGTCTGTTTCTGATGGCGCAAAAATGTTTCGTGCGCGTGTCACGTTTTTTGTCGAACATTTTTTTTCCGCGTGTCAATCGCGATTTTCTGAAACATCTAAGGAGCTCTGAATCTTAGCAGGGGCTTAAAAAAATAAATATCCCTAAAGGCAGGAACGCAATTCGGGAGGCATCAGCCCTAAACACGGGAAATGTCAAGGTTTTTCTTTTCTGGCGCGTGTCAAACGCGATTTTCTGAAACATCTACGGAGCTCTGAATCTAAGCAGGGGCTGAAAAAAATAAGTAAACCCCTGAAGGCAGGAACGCAATTTGGGAGGCATCAGCCCTAAACACGGGAAGCATGGTGTTTAGGGTAATTGCCTTGAATGTGTTGCAATAAGGGAGGGATCAACCCTAAACACGGGAAATGTCTAGGTGTTTAGGGTTGATGCATTGAAAGTGTGCCTGGTTCCTTACGGGGCTTAGGTCGTTTTAACCCGTATAAAAAACCAGACTAAACAGAAACAGCATAACACAAGCCTTGTCTTCGCGACCAGACTGAGGTGACGTAACACCTCGCAAAATTTGTATTTGATGAAAGGATCGAAACCTCAAACTGTAATCCCGCGATTTTGGCTGTAAAACCTAATGGCACCTGTAATGTCGATATGACCTCGTCTGCAGCACGAAAATAACGTGTAAGCGCGTGGAAGTCGATCCATTTGGACGAGGTTTAGTCGCCCTACCTGCGGTGCGAGCTTGGCTGATGGGTTTGAGAGAAGTTTGCGCGCCGGCACGTCGCGCAATTTTCCCCAAATCCCTTGACAGATGCCCCGGCCCTGGGACGAAAGGGCGTTGCCAAATCTTCTGTACACACCGTTCAGTTGTCAATCGCTCGAGGTCGTGCGGACGCTGGAAACAAAGCACTTGCTCCTGCGGGCCCCGTATTCTACCAACACCCTCCAAAAAGTTCAGGGCTATTTTCTGGGAGCTCAGGCCAGGACGGCAAGTTTGGAAAATCAACGATTGCTGACCTCGGTGCTCGATTGCTGACATACGGAACGAGACAACCTAAAACAAATTCAGTACGGTACAGCACGAGTGTGCGTAAATCAAGAGCAATCAGAATTCTGAATTCCGCTCCGACGCTGCAGTGCTCCCCCAACAATCAAGCTGTACTGTATGATTTGCAATTTTCGGCAACCCAGCACGGGCAGGCAACAAAAGTTGAATGATGATCTGGATGCAAATATCTACATTCCCCCAAGTATACCATTTTTCCAAAGGGAAGACCTACTTTGAAAGACCTTGTTGGTCGAGCATTCATAAGGATATATAAGGGCTTTAGTCATGGTTTTATTTTTGAACAGAGCTTCTTATAGAATCTTTATCTCAGCTCATATTAGTTATAATAAACGTTTTTGCTGAGATATATGATTTGAGCCTTAGTTTCCATCGTAAATTGACGTCTAATTGAAGTCTACCATTTTGTCGACCCTTTGGGGCACTGAATTTTTTATTATGGTGTGCACTACCAGTGGCAGTGCTCTAGTGCAGCTCAGTCGCACACAATCAAGAACTGTTGAAGGCAATCGCAGAAGTCCACATTGGCGTTTTACAGTAGCGTACACGTTGAGCCAAACGTTGCCGCCTTACAGAAGTCCGCGTTGGCGTTTCAATGCCGAACTTTCTCGAGAAGCACCTGCGTAGGAACTGTTCTGTCACCCCAGGTCCCAAACGTCTACATGTGGATGGATGGGTTCGTTGAGAAACGGGCAGGTTGATGAAAAAGGAAGGGATGACATACCCAGCTGAGTTCGAAGGGGCAGGGCATGATGAAATATGTTAGGTGGGTGAGGTTAGCCACGTGGGCCGAGCCAGTGAGCGCGGGCCGCTGAAAGCCCAAGGCAGTGGGAAAGGGCGGTGACTTTCGGCGGGCCTCAGCGACAGAAACACCTGGCACGCGGATTCCCCCATGCAGTCCAGCCTACAGTTCATCATGCCGCGTGGGCGGGAAACTCTGGGGAGCGGTGGTGACGATGGCGCCAGAACACAACGGCATCTGCAGCACGAGACCTTGAACCCCCCGCGGGTGGGGGGCCCGCAACCGAACCAAACCCCACCCCGATCGACTGTTTGGGCGGCGAAGCCATCCGCTGACCCCCACCCTCCTCCCCGTACGACCCGACGTCTTTTCCCCCAGCCCGTCCTTGTGCGTGTCTTCGCCCGTCCAGCACAAGCTCGTGCATTGCTGCTCTCGTCCAGGCCTCCTATGTTCGCGTGCTTCCTGGCAGGATCTGACGAGGCTGGCTTGGCGGAGGAAATCTTTCTTTCTGCCCTCGAGAGTTGGGGGAGTCAGGAAGCCAGAGTCGGGGAAGTCAGACTCAGGGGAGTGAGTGAATTAGGCAGTTAGGGCGGAACTCAGGGGTCGAAGCTTGTACTCGTAACACCTACACCTTCGAGTCTAGGGTTCCGTCCGTATCACTCCACGATCCTGTCAGTCGTGACGGAGCGATGGCCACTACGCCTGTCTCTGCGGTAGTGGTTGAGCGATAGCCGTCGCCGTGCCGCGGGAGTGCTGCAGTTTTAACGGTTTCTATAGTGCGGAAACCCGTGGAAATATTCTACAGCTGCCGCTGGGAGCATGCGGGACTCAGTTTAGGAAAACCGTGTTGTAGTTGTTAGATCTAGCACCGAGGGCCCACTTATCCGTAGCTTGTTCACAGATAATTGACTTTAGGGCATTTCATAGTGGTCCATCATGCATGCTACGCCGGGTAGCAGTGCTAATGGGAAAAGGGCGAGACAAGAAGTTGGGTATAATCTCAGCGGCAACAATAAGGACATAATGTACGAATCCGGCACCGATTATTTCATTAGTATCGCTCTTAAGAATCTCGTCAGATCCTGCCATCCCCGCTTCCAATCCCTCGTTACGCTTTAGCGGTTCGACTGATGCACGCGCCGTTGAGATGCGTCGACTCGCTAGGTTCTTCTGCGGTTCCTCCTCTCACCTCGCCAACGCATCACCCGCAGAAGCGTGACGCTTCTCCACGAATGTTTCCCTACTCGTTCTCTCATACGTGCCTCATTATCCGACCGTTCCATCCCGCCACTGACCATTCGTCCTTTCCGTCCTTCGTGTCGCCTTTTCGACTGTTAGCTCCGTGTTCACTTCGCGCATTCAATCTGTCCAAGTAACGTGTTACGTCGCGAGGCGTGTGTTTTTCCGCGTCAGCCTGTCATTCTATCGCATTTCCCGTCGCTCGGCGTTTCGTTTCCCTCTGGCGCACGTCTCCCCTTCCTCTCCGCAATATCTCCCTCGTCTTCTTTCCCCCCTTCTTTTCTCACCTTGCGTCTTTTCTTCATCCGTCTCCGATGTCCCTCTCTACTCCCTCGCCTCCTTCTGTCTATACATCCGCCCCTTCGCCTGCTTATCATGTCGACGTCTTTATTGCGTCCCCAGTCCTTCATCCGTCGTTCTCGTTTCTATCTGAAACCCCCACAGGCCGCCGCCCGCGCATCACCGGCGGAACTATCCAGCCGCTGCGCCGAAAGAGGAACCGCCTGCGCGCTTTCCCGCCGTAGCCCCGGCTTCGCGGAAAGGAGCAACGCCGTCGTTCCTGTTGTCATCGGCCGGCATGCCTGCGCCTATGAAGGGGCCGTTTGCGGAAAGCTTCGCTGCCGCTGCCGCTGCCGCCGCCTCCGCGCATCCCGCAGCTTCCGCCAGCGCCGGTTTTGCGGCGAAAAAGGGAGGCGGAGCTTGCGCGAGCGGCGCTGGCGCAGCCACTGTGGGCGGAAGGGCGGACGGGATTCCCGCGGGCGGAACGGAGCGCGGAGGCGCGCATGCTGTGGCGCAGCCGTCCGCGAATTTCCACGCGTACAAGGCAGAATTTCAAGGCACCGCTCTGCGCGTTTACGTTCCTAAAGACCTGGGTAAGGGCCAAAGAATGCTTCAAACTATTCCATTCTTCTCCGTGGACCATCCTTTCGCTCCCTCGCCCGTCCTTCCGCTCGCCCTTCCACCTTTCCGCCTACCCGTTCGTCCTTCCGCCGTCGGCGCAGCTCGGGCAGCCCCTTCCGCCTGCGAGGTTTCCGCGCACTTTCCGCCCCTCCCGTCAATCTTCCTCTGGCCTTCCGCCGTTCCTCCGTTCTCCTCCCCGTGCCCTCTCTCTCGTCCCGCGCCTTCGCCGTTCCGCCCCCTGGTGTGTTGCGCGCAGGCGGAAGGTGCATCCGCGAGTGCTTGCGCTTCCAGTTGGGCGGAGATAATGGCATCGGCAAGGCGCTGGAACTTGGCAACAGGTGCGCCTTGCGCGGGGGGCGGGGTCTGAGAAACCGGATTTGGGGAAATGGGGGAAGAGAAGGGGAGCAAGTGGGGGAGGATGGGGGAAAGAGAGAGGGGTGGGGGGGGTGGGCGGAGGAGAGTTTCGACTGGCGGCTGCTGCGGGCTCCGAGACGTTATACGACCATGGTGTTCCGTCGTAGGCTGTAACATGCTCGAAACATCAACTAAAACTCCTCCTCACCCCTCTCCCCACTCCGGCCCTCTCTCCCTTCTCCACAACCCTCCCTTCTCCCTCCCCTTCCCGTTCTCCCTGCCTTCCCCTTCCTCTCCTCTTTCTTCCTGCATCCCCCCTCCCGTTCTCTCTCCCCGTTCGCTCCGCTCCCCCCTTCCGCTCCCGTCGCCGCGCGCGCGCAGCCGGTCGTCGTTCAAGGGGAGTCGCGACAAGATCAAGGAGGGGAAGAATCTCATGTCGGTGATATCGCTGCGCGAGGCGCTGGGCTTTCTGGACCGCACAACCAAGGACCGCGCGCGCGCGCAGCACATGAAGCGCTTCATCCACGACGTCGTCGTCCCCAAACTGGTGCGCGCGCGCGGAAGGGTAGTCGCGCGGAGGCGCGCCGGGGAAGGCGCGGGAGGGTGGGGGGTAGCGGGAAAGAGCGGGTGCGGGGAAGGGGAATGGGGAACTGGGTAGGGGATGAAGCGGAGAGTTTACATGAGCTTCTGTCTGCTGAGCGCACGCACAGCATGCGCGCCGAATGCGCTATCTGCGGCCAATGCGCCATCCGCGCTGCCCGGCGCGCCATACGTGGATGTTGGCCCCACTGCTCAGCGCCTCGACTCGACACATACGCGTGCGCTTTCTCCTTGCTCATGGTTATTCTACCCGCCACTCTTCCTTTCTCTCTCCCCCCCTCCCCCCACACACTTCCTGCTCCCCCTCCCTCGCGTTCCTCCCCCCCCTCCCTCGCCGCCTCTTACTTTTCGTTTCCTCTTCTCGCTGCCTATCCCTCCGTTTCCCCCCCTCCTCGTTCCCCCAACCAGGAGCGCGGGGAGCTCCCCCCGTGGGGCGGCGGAACCCAGCGCGCGCCCGACCACCCGGGGCTGGACGAGTTCATCCGCAAGCTCATCCTCGCTACAGAGAAACTCGAGTCTTGCTTGCAGCACAAGGAGGTGGCGGGGTACCTGGCGGAGCTGAAGCGCGCCGTGCGCGCCAAGGGGGAGCGGGACGTGCGCGTGGTGCTCGTGGGGGGCGCTGGCGCGGGGAAGAGTCACCTGGGGAACCGGTGAGTGCTGGTGCTGGGGGAGCGTGGCGAGAGGGACGAGAGGGAAAGAGGGGGGAGGGGGAAGGGAGGGGAAACGGGAGGGGGATGCGGTGATTGCGAGATTGTGGGGGGTATGGTACTATGGGTATCGGAGGGAGGGGAGAAGCCGTGTGGGGTGGGTGTGTCTCTATATATGTGTGTGTATCCGTGTGTATGTGTGCTTATATGCGTGCAGGCAAGTGTGTCGGCTTGCCTGCTGTTAGTGCGTTCTCATCCCATTCAATCTTACCTACCTACCTCTCTCGCAGTCGGCAGCAGCATCGATTCCTACCTACCTGGCCGTTTGTTTCATCCTTTTCCTCCATCCCTGATCTTCTCTGTCCTTTTGTTCCCTCTCATCCGTTTTTTTCCCCTCTATCCGCCTTGTCCTCGTTATTAACAGACTCGTCTGCCCTGGTAGTGACGGAACTAGAGGGCCTTTCCCTCTTTCATCCGGCATGCCTGCCACCACCACCGCTATCACCCCTGCAGCAGCACGGGCAACTGTAGCACCTTTATTGGCAATGCAGCATCAGCAACAGCAAGGGTTGGCGCCTGCTGCTGCTTTTGCCGCTGCCGCTGCTGCAGCAGCTGCTGGTGTTTCTGCTGCCGCTGTTGCCGATGCTGCGGGTGGTGCTGCTGCAAGCGAGGAGGGAACAGGGAACGATGCGGGAGGCGGAAAGAAGAGGAGGCATGGGAAAGGCGGAAAGGAAGGCAGGGAGGGAAGAGGCGGCGAGTCAGGTGGTAAGAAGAGGTGGAGAGAGGAGGCGGAAGGGGTTGAAGGGCAAGGGGGAGGGGCGGACGTAGAGAAGCAGCATCAGCAGAGGCGGCGGCGGAGGCAGCAGCAACAGGAGCAAGAGAAGGAAGGCGTGTCTGCTGCTGCTGCTGCTGCTGCTGCTGCACGGTCCACTGACGGCGGTTCAGGAGAGAAACGGAAGGCTGAGGAGCGGCACAAGGGCAGGAAGGAGGGCGAGGAAGGGGGGAGCAGCAAGACACGCAAGGACAGAGACAGAGATAGGGACAGGGAGCGAGAGAGAGACAGTAAAGGGAAGTGGAAGGGGAAGGGGAAAGGCAAGGGCCCGTTTGCAGTGGGGGGCGGCGAGCAGAGCAGCAGGTGGCAGGAGTGGGTGCAGGCGCAGCAGGACAAGCAGGCACAAGTGCTGCTTAACATGCACCAACCTCCTGCAACCCCCACCCCTTCTGCGACTCCGCCTCCTCGTCCTCCTTCACATCTTCATTCTGCTTCTGCCTCTACTGCAGCTGTTGCTGCTGCTGCCGGCAGTGCGCCAGCAGCAGCAGCGCCCACCGCCGCAGCTGCCTCTCCTCCCTTCCCCCACACGCCCTCTGCGTCCTCCGCGCCTGCGCCCGCCATCACCATTGCAGTGCGCCGCTTGGAGCACCCGGATCCCAGCCACCTGCGCGCGTCCCTCCTCCCCCGCTCCCCCGCCGCGTTCGAGGCCCTCGTGACGTCCCTGGTCGACTCTCTCGCGCTCTCTGACCCTGCTGCCGCGGCTGCTGCTGCTGCTCTTGGGAATACCGGCACCAGCACCGGCACCGGCACTGGCACCGGCGGCATCGGCAGTGGCAACAGCAGCGCAAACGGCAATGCAGGCGCCACTCTGAATGCTGCCTCCTCCCGCGCGGTCCACCACCTCCGCGTGTACCTCCGCGAGTGCTTCGGCTGCGCGGTCGTGGACGGCAGGATTCGTCTGGTAGCGCCGGAAGTGGTGAAGCTGCCAGAGGTGGTGATAGGGGGCGTGGTGGGGAAGGCGGAGGTGGAGGCGGCGGAGGGGGGGGTGTTTGGGCGCATGCAGATGCTGGCGGGGAGCGTTGCTGCGAGGCTCACAGAGGGGCAGCGCCTGGCTGTGGAGGCGCTGCTGTTGGAGTCGCCGGCTATTGGGTTGCCTGCTGGTTACACCCTCTTCGATGTGCGTTCTGCTGCTGCTGCTGCTGCTGCTGCGGCTACTGCTGGTGGTTGTGGTTCTGCTGCTGCTGCTGCTGCTGCTGCTGCTGCTGCTGCTGCTGCTGCTGCTGTTGCTGCTGCTTGTATTGCTGTGTGTGTTGCTCTTGTATATGTCCCTGCTGCTCTTGGTGCACATGCCCCCATCCCCCTCGTCCCTCCTCCTGCGCCCTCTTTCCCCGTGTACCCCTCCCCCACCTTCCTCCCCTCTTCCCCCCTTCCCCCACCACCCATCCAGACGCCCGGCACGCGCAGTGTCGCAGCCTCCCCAGCCCTGCAGCAGCTACTGCAGCGCGCGGACGTCATTGTGCCCTGCTCCGCGCGCCAGCCACTCTCTGACCGCCTCATCCGCGCGCTGCTGTGGCCAGGGCTCTTCTTCCGGCCCCGCCCCCCGCTCTTCCTCATCCCGCTGGACTACTGCACCGTGGGCGCAGGGGGAGGCGGCGCGGGGGGAGGGGCGGGGGGAGGGGCAGGCTGCGGGGAAGGTTGGGATTGTGAGAGCGGTGGTTGTGGTGCAGGGGATGCGTGCAATGGGTGTGGCTGTGGCTGTGGTGCTGGTCCTGGAGAGAGCAGCAACGGGAAGGCATGGGGCGAAACGGCTGTATGGCCAGCAGGAATGGCAGGAATGAATGGATCTGCAGGTAGATTTGCCCCATCCCTCGACTTACCCTTCTCTGCTGCCCTCGGTGCCACTGCTGGCGGCAGCGCCGGGAGCAGCACTGGCGGCGGCAGTGGTGGTGGTGGTGGTGGTGGGAGTGGGAGTGGGAGTGGGAATGGTGGTGGGGTGAGTGCAGGGCCGCATGCGGACGAGCGGCGAGCGTATTTCCGTGCGCGGTTTGCGGGTGTGGCGCGGTGTGGGGCGCTAGCACCGTGTGTGGACGTGCACCAGAGGGCGCAGCTCAGCACTCACCTCGCCCACACTCTGCAAGTGCTCCCGCCCGGCGTGCTCTCCTTCCAGGTGAGTCACTCTCACTGGCACACGGACGGACGGCCACACAGACACGCCGGCGTAGCATCACATTGCCAGGCGGTCGAATAGTCCTCACATGCAAGCCGCGCTTTCCAGAACCTAGACGATCGTGGGCTGAATGAAAGAATGCAAGAACGCGGAAAGATTGATAGGTTTCAGGCCAAACTAACTGGAAGTGCATGACTCTCTCTCTCCCCTTCCTTTACGCCTTCCGCCCCTGGCCCTCCCCGTCGGTTCGTCTCCCCTCCACAGGAGCACCCAGTGCTGCAGTCGCATGTGTTGCAGCATGACAATCAGATGCTGCTGTGGGCCGCCACTACCCTCGCGTTCACTCTCAACGGCCTCCTCACTCGCCACGGGCTGCTGCCCAACCCACACAGCAACGCCCACCTCGGTAGCAACGGCAACGGCAACCCCAACAGCGGCTGCAGCAGCAAGAATAACAGCACCGGGAGCGGGAACGGCAGCGGGAGTAGCAATAGCAGTGCCAGTGGCAGTAGCATCAAGAAGAGCAGCAGTAGTATTAATGTGAAAGAGAGCACAGAGAGCAACAAGCTCGGTTGTAACGGCGACAGATTAACCGACTTGACTATCGGCAGCAGCATGCTTCCTCCTCCTCCTCCTCCTCTCTCTCCTTCTCCCCTCCTGTCTCCCTCTGCGCCTCCTGCTTCGTCTGTGCCTTCTCTACCCTCTCTCCCCTCCACGCCTTCCCCGTCGGAAACCTCATCCGACCTCCCATGGAATCTGCTCCTCTCTGCCGCTGCTCACACTCTCTCCCATGCACCACCGCACCATGTACCACCGCATGGTACCGCACCGCACCATGCACCACTGGTGCATACTCCAGCGCAATCATCTTCGCTCCCGTCTGCTGCGCCTCCAGGAAAGTCTGAACCTCTCTTCTCATCCCCATCTTCTCACCAGCTCCTTCCGTTCTTCCTCCCCGGAAGCAGCAACACCACCAACGGCAGCACCAGCACCAGCAGCAGCAGCAAACCCATCACCACCCCTCCCGCTGGTAGCAGCAGTGCCGCGGCATTCAGCAGCATCCCAGGCAGCAGCTGCAGCAACGCCAGCCGCCCCGACGCACTGAGCGCCGCCGCGGCCACCTTTGCAGCGGAAGCCCACTGGGAGCACGTGCGCTTCAAGAGCGAGCAGTGCTTCCTCTCCGCCTTCCGGGAGGAAATCAACCAGCAGCTGGACGCGCTACGCTGCGAGGTGCAGGATTACCTGGAGACGTGCGCGTGGGCGAGTGATGGGAGCGAGCGGTGGTGGCGGAGAATGGTGGCGTTTGTGGTGGGGGCGCTGCGGCAGTCGTTTGAAGGGCTGGGGGATGTGGCATGTGCGCTGATGCTGGACGAGCAGGAGGCGGCCATTGCCATGCTCGCGTCCTCCTCTTCGCATCCGTGAGTTCCCCTTTGTTGTTGAGCATTGGTTGCTGTTGTCTTGTGAGGCGCCTCAAAAGGCGTGCGCGCTGATGCTGGATGAGCAAGAGGCGGCCATTGCCATGCTCGCGTCCTCTTCACGCGCGTGAGTTTCCCTTTCCTGCCACTGCTCGCACTCCTGCCACTGCTCGCACTCCTGCCACTGCTCCTTGCTCACACACCCTGCATCTCACGCACCGCCCCTCCCCCCCCCTCCCCTCCCCCCCCCACCTTCACATGCACACAACCGTGTCCTGCCACCCTTTGCTGGTCCACGCTTCTGGTTTCCATCCCTTCCCTCCCGATCCCTCTCCCCACTTCTCCCTCCCCGCGCCCCTCCCCCCTCCCGCCCCTCTCTTTTTCCCTCATCGCTTGCTCTAGCTCCACAGTACCCAGCAAAAGCAAAGCATGGAGCTCTTTCCATCCTCGGCATCCCCACTCACTGCCACCTCCCGCCCCGTGTGCTCCCTCCCTCTCTCTTCCCCCCTTTCTCCGTCTTGCCTCCTCCCTCCCCTCCCCTCCCCCAACCCCTACCTTCTTCCCCCTTCTCTCCCCTCTCTTCCCTCCGATCTTCCTTACCGCAGCTGCCCAGCAGCACCCCCATCACTACCACCCTCTCCGCAGGAGGGGCAGGATGAGCAGGAGGAGCGGGGGCAGCAGCAGGGGCAGCAGCAGGGGCAGCAGGCGGAGCAAGTGGAGCAGGAGGAGGAAGGGGACATGCTTCTGAGCATATCGAGCAGCTTTGTGGTAGCATCTGAGACGGCCCTAGACAAGCTGTGGTCTGTGCACCGCTCCTTAGGCCTAGAAGCCGCACTCTCCCTCCTCTCCCCGCACCACTTTCCCTCGTCCCGGCGCCTGGGGGACGATGGGGATGCGTGGGCGGGGGGGAGGGACGGAGGTGGAAGAGCCACGGGGAGGGCTGGTGCAGGGGGGAGTGTGGCAGGGGGTGGTGGGAAGGGGAAAGGGGTGGATAAGGGGAAGGCGCGTGTGGAAGAGGAGGGGGCGGCTGGGTGGGCGGGTGTGGGGAGAGGCATGGGCGAGGGGGTTGGGTGGAACCGCGCTGGGTCTGCTTGTGCTGGTGGTTTGGATTGGGCCGAGATGGTGGGAGCGAGTGTTGGGACAACAGCAGCAGGAGCAGGAGCAGCAGGAGGAGGAGCAGGAGAGAAAGGAGAAGGGGAAAGAGAGATGGGCGCAAAAGTGCAAAGGATGGGTGGAATGGGAGGAATCGGGGGAGCAGGGGATGTGGGGGCAGTAGAGGGAGTGTTGCATGGCATGGTTCGACAAGAGCTGGAGCAGGCATGGCGGCACCACATGGCTCGCTCCATAGGTCAGTCTCCCTCTCTCTCCGTCTCTCTCTCACACACACATCACATACACGGCTAGTGATGGGAAGCAAGGGATTTGGGGGAGGGATATGCGTGGGAAGAACATGGGGGGACGAGGGGATGGGAAGGGGGTGTCGGGATGGCATATTCTTCACGTCTCATTGTTCTGCCGAGCTTCACTCTTGTTTGAAGCGAGACACAAGCCCTTTGCGTGGGCCTGTCTTCCCACAACCCCTCGTCCCTTCCTTCTCCCTCGCTCCCCTCCCATTCACCCTCCCATTCCCTCTATCCCCCCTCACCTTCTCCCTTCCCGTTCCCCAATCTCCACTCCCTCTCCCCCCCATGCTCTCCTCCTACTTCCTTCCCTCCCTTTCATCCAACCCCTTCTTCCCTCCGCTCCCACCGCCACACCCACAGCAGCAGCGGACTTTGCTTTGAAGAGCACAGTGCGTCTCTTCAAGTCGACCTAACCGCACTCCTTCTTTCACATCCCCCCTCCCCCCCCGCAGATGCCTCAGCAGCAGCGGACTTTGCGCAGGAGAGCACAGTGCGTCTCTTTGATGCGCCCACCAGCGTTGCCATGCGTCTGCGCCACTGGGCGCACCACACCATGGCCCCGCAGGCCCTCTCCCTCGCCCTGCACGTCCTGCATCCCCTCGCCTCCTCCTCCTGCCTCCCAACGTCGTTTTCCGCTTTGCCTAGTCCTGCCCCTGCTGCGGCTGCGGCTGCGGCTGCTTTGCTCTCTGCCGCAGCTGGTGCGGCTGGTGAGACTGCTGCTGGAAATGCCAACGCTGCTGCTCCTCCTCCTGCTGCTGCCGCTGCCACACCTTTTCCGTGGTTGACTAAGGGGCAAGCCACAAGTGCTGTTGGTCCCTGTGGGCTTGCACTTGCCTCTCACCCACCTGCTTCACTTCTAGACGCTGGATCAGCAGCAGCAGCAGCAGCAGCAGCAGCAGGGGGTGCAGTGGCGGCAGGGTTGGCAGCAGCAGCAGCAGCAGCAGCAGCAGCAGCAGATAGCCCTAGGAAGCACCACCTCCCGTTCTTTCCAGGCCTGACGAACGATGCAGCTCCTGCTCTGGCAGTTCCTTCGTCCACTGTTGCTGCTTCTGCTGCCGCTTCTGCTGCTGCTGCTGCAGCTGCTCCAGGCATGCGTGTGGGGCGAGTGGTAACAGGGGAGGAGGTGAAGGCGAGGAAGGGGGGCCTGGAGGTGGCAAAAGCAGCAGTGGCAGTGAGAGAAGTGGCGCTAGGGCTGTTGGTACTGTCCAAGGATATACTCAATCCCACCCTCACCATTCCCTGCAGGTTCGTCTACATTCTCTGATAGGCACTTTCTTGCAAAGCAATGAGCCATCGTCTGTCCCCTCTCCTGCTTTCTTAGCACACTACCTCTCTTCGTCTCGTTTTTTTCAAAGCTCGTTCTGCTCCCTTCCTTTCTGTTCCGCCCATCCCATCCCGTTCAACTACCTGTTCCCCGTCTCCCTCCGCATCCTTCCCCTCACATGCTTCTCCTCCCTCCCGCCCAATCCCTCTTCCCTCTCCCTCCCCTCCCCCCAGACCCATACCTTCTGTGCGCAAGCTTCCACCTCCCCCAGTCCTGCCCGGCCGCCACCCAACATCGGATGCCATCACTATCAACTACACCACTCCACCCTCCGCTGGGATAAGCAGTCTCGCACCCACCGGGCTAGGAACCGGCACAAACCATAGCTTAACCGCTGCCACTAATGCTGCAATAACCAACAACAGTGGCGCCTTAGCTTCATTTCCGGGTGGGTCAGGCTCAGGAGAAGCACCAGGCGCATGGTCAGGGTCAGGGGCAGCACCGGCCGCGCGCATCGACAACGCTGCTTGCTCTGTCCGCGCCACTGTCGCCGCCACCGCCGCGGCTGCCACCGCCGCGGCTGCCGCAGCCGCGGCTGCTGCTGCCCGTGCCTCTCAAGGCCTGCCCCCCAGCCGTCTTCCTGACTCCGGCCCCCCCTTACTCCACCGAAAACTAAAACAAGTTCCTTTGCAGGCCCGACCAGGGCCGGAGATCATCTGGGTGACTGATCTAACAGGCGGGCCGGGAGGCGAGCGGGATGTGAAGTCGCCGTATTCATGGCTGGAGTTCACGCGGAGTCCGGCGAGGGCGCGGGCGATAAGAGTGGGGCAGTGGGCGGACATCTTCCTGAACCACTACGAGCATGTGTGCAAGCATGCCACGAACGTTGTTGAACAGATCTGCCCCCCCATGTTCTTCATTTCCAAGGTGAGGGCAAGTGGTGGGCGGAGGAGGAGGGAGGGAAGGATGAAGGGTTGGGGAAGGAAAGGAAGGTTGAATGGGGAGGGAAAGAGGGAGGGAGGGTTGGAGGATTGGGGGAGGGAGGTCTGGGAGTTCTGGGTTGCGGGTTGTGGTTGCAGGGCATGCGTGCTGATACTTTCTCCACCCCTCCCCTCTGCTTTTCCTGCGCTGATTTTCCTGCCCTGATTTCCTGTGCCATGTTTTTCCTTCGCAAATTCTCCCACTTTTCCCCCCTCCCTGCACACCCACTCCCCCCATCTCAACCGTTTTTCATCTTTTCTTTACATGGCTGCTACCTCCCACTCTCCTTCTCCATCGCGCCAGTGTCAACTCTACCACCAATCCAGTTTCAATGCTTCTCTGTGTTTGTAACCGCTGTCTCGTTCTCATCCCTCCTTCATAACTCCTCATCCCGTGCCCATTCCCACTTTTTGCAACACTCCCATCCACTCACCACATCCCCCTCGCTCTCCCCCTTGCCTTTCCCCTCCCCAGGACCCCTTCTCCCCTGCTGCTCTCCGCACCTACGACCTCCTCTCTGCCTCCTCCTCTTCCTCCTCCTCCTCATCCACCCCACCCGTACCCTTCACTCGCACACCCCACCCGGGAGCCTCTCTCTCTCCACCCGCCTCCGCCAGCATAGCTGCCCGCACTGCTTCCGCTGCCACTCCCGCTACCACAGGAGCCACTTCCAGCCACAGCACCGCACCATCACCATCCCCATCACCATCACCAGCACCACTATCACTGGCATCACCAGCGGAGCCGTTCCTGTACTCCTTCCTGGTGGTGGAGCGGCGGCACATGCTAGAGGTGGCGCCAGAGGTGGCTGCGCGCCTGCCGTGGCACATGTGGCCTGTCGTTGTTCCGGATCACTCGCACCCTGCAGAGCTCTGCGAGGCCGCCAAGCTTGTTGCAGAGTCCATGCTCGGCATGGGGCCCAAGTCGTACGTATTCCTCTCTTGCTCTCTCCCACTCTCGCTCCCGCTCCCACTCCCGCTCACTTTGTGGTCGGTACACTCAGATATGAGCTCAGCGTGTGAAGAGAGTCTTCCGTTGAGTTGACTCAGAAGGTGAGCTCTGCGAGCTGCCAAGCTTGTTGCAGAGTCCATGCTCGGCATGGGGCCCAAGTCGTACGTTGCTTCATTCCTTTCACATTTTCCTAACTTCTTTCCTTCTTTTTTCCTTTCCTTCCTTCTTTCTTTTTGTGTTGTGACCTTCTCTTGTTCCTCTCTACTGTCTTATACCTTCACTCCTGCAATTGTCAACATGCAACGCACTTGTCTGAGTTGCAACTTCAACTCATCCAATACTCCTACCCTCCATTGCTCCCTCCTTTCACTCTTCCCCCCACCCACCCCCCCACCCGCCCCAACCCCCCCACATCCACCATACCAGGTACGCGCTCATCCCCTCACACACACGCTTCTACGAGTTCATCTCATTGCCCTCCCTCTCAACACCATCACCAACACCATCATCATCCCAGCAACAACAACACCACCAACACCAGCTGCACCAGCAGCAGCAGGTGGAATCCGTGGCACCAAGAGCCCTGCAGTTTGCACAGGCTGTACTAGCAGCGGAACGAGCCGCCAGCCACCGCTCCCTGCAGCACCACATGGGAGCACGCGAGTTCAAAACCAGCCTGGTAGCACTAGCCATGGAGGATGCGCATGGGACCGTGGAGGGGCGCATGGCTTTCCATCGGTTCAACGTGGGGTATGATGCGGCTCTTGGGTCGATTGCACAAGGGGGAAGAGGAGGAGGAAGGGGTGGAGGAGGTGAGAGTGGTGGTGCTGCTGTGTCGGCGGCAGCGCTGCAGATCAAGATAGAGGAGCTGTTTGATCCTCTCCTGCCTACTGTAAGCCCTCTCACTCTCCCTCTCTCGTTCACTCTCGTTCTCTCACTCTCTCATCGTCACCCTCTCTCACTCACTCCCGCTCTCTTCCCCTTCGCCCTGTCATCCCACCCTCCTGCTGTTTCTGTCCTCGTCCCTCTTCCCTTCTTTCTGTCCTTGCACCACCCGCGTTGCCATTCCTCTCTCCAGTCTCTCTCCATTCCTCCCCCTTCCCCCGCCCCTGCCTCGTCTCCCCGCCCCCACCAGGTGAAGGAGCGGCTAGAGGAGCTCCTGGAAGACGTGCACGCAGTGGCAGCCGTCTCTCTCTCTCACGGTGCCTACGCCCGTCAGCGCCACCTCCTGCTGCGCGTGCACGCAGCCAACTATGAGGCCGGGGGCCCCCCGTCCTCGCTCATAACTCTCAACGACATCGAGTCGCAGCGCCCCTTCTCCTACTGCGGCCCCAGCAGGGTGCTAGACGAGGTGCTGGTGCCGCACGTGTGCTCCGAGGAGGAGTTTTTGCAGCAGTGGAGAGCGGTGCAGAAGATTTTCTTTTTGCAGCTGCTGGAGTGTGGGAGGAGGGTGCTGTGGACGCCGCAGTTCCATGCCGTGGATGTCCCCCCGGGGTCCGTGCGGCCGAGTAAAGGGGCTCGCTAAAGGGGGGGCAGTAAAGGGGCTCGCTAAAGGGGGGCAGTAGCAGTTGTGTAAAGAGGGGCCCGGCCTGGGGCTAAAAGTGGTTGGTGACATACAGAGAGTGGCGCCGCCAGGGTGGCGGTAACGGCGGAGGCGTGAACACGGGGGGCGCTAGCTGTATGACAGCTTCTCCCCTAGCATATTTTTGAGTTGAGTCAGAATACTGGGGGACGGGGGGGGGGGGGGGGGGGGGGGGGCTGGTCAGACTGGACGTGTGGAGCAGAGGCAGAGTGCAGGGGACTGCAGCAGTGTGGCTTTTCACACAGCAAGGCTCGGCCTGGGATTGGATGGGATGGGATGGAATGGAATGATGGGTGGATGTGCCTCAAAACACACAGGAACACACTCAGCAGCCTCAGAGGGGGTGTGTTGTGCAGTGGAAACGGGCGAGGGAAGAGAGGGGCGAATTGGATACATGAGATGAGACCTTGTGTGCAGGCAACAATGGTTTTTTTTTTCTTGAGTGCTTTTCTATACTCGCCTCGCCTAACTGTATCAGTGGATAGTAACGCTTGTGCGCGTGCCACATGGGTCACATGAAAGCAGGCCCGTGTGTGTTGCATGCGGCATGTTGCATGTTGCATGTTGCTCCAGTGTCTCATCTTTTTCTTTCCTCTGTTGCATGATGATGCTGTTTGTAAAAAACACGGTAAAAAATCTCTGCTGGAAGCTGAATGCTGCAGTATGATTGTCTGTACTGAAACATGGGAGGCCTGCTGTGCATGCTACATAATGTGTGGTAGCTCCACTCCACTCCACTCCGACCAAGTTTCACAGTTACAATCCCTCAGCCCTAGTCGATAAATGAAGGCTTATCTTATCTCACTCATAGCAATACATATATTCTAGATGTTTAGACTAATCAAGACATCTCCAAGCCACTTTCCTGTGCTGCTACATGACTCACGAACTTTGATGCAGGGCAAGCTTTTCATGCCTACCGCATCAGCCGCGCCGCAACTGCAACCAGCATCATCCTCAACCAATACGACCAGCAGCCATCCCTACCACGAGCTTTCAGAAGCACCTGCGTCATCACTAGCGGCGGTGGCGGTGGCAGCAGCAGCCTGGCGAGCAGCGACCTGAGCACAGATTTCAGTGGAGGAGATGACCTCAGAAGTCTGCTCGGAAGCTTGCCTAAGCAACCACCAGTATGACCTACAGGCAGGCATCCCTACCAGGCGCTTCAAGAAGCACCAGCATCATCAACAGTAGCAGCAGCTGCCTGCTGTGCGGCTAGTTGGGCGCGGATCTCAGTGGAGGAGATGTCTGCTCGGAAGCTTGCCTCGGCTCAGCAACAGCTTCAATAAGAACCAGCATCCGCACCATCAGCACGAGTAGCAGCAGCAGCAGCAGCTGCCTGCTGTGCGGCTAGTTGAGCGCGGATCTCAGTGGAGGAGATGTCTGCTCGGAAGCTTGCCTCGGGAATGCCTCGGAAGATCGCACGTACGGACTCTGGCACGACCAGACTCTCAGATGACTGGGGGAGGGAGGAGGTAGGGCGCCAAGGGAGGGCAAGGAGAGAGGTAGGGTGCGAAGGGAGGGCACGGAGAGAGGGAGGGGAGGGTCTATTTTTGAGGCACCTAAAGAATGGGAATGCCTCGGAAGATAGCACGTACGGACTCTGGCACGACCAGACTCTCAGCTGACTGGGAGCGTAAGGGAGGGAGGGAGGGAGGGGAAGGAGAGAGGTAGGGGTGAAATGGGAGAGAGGAAGGGTGGAAGGGGAGTCTGGGAGAGTGGTGGGAACACATTACTACATGCTTCATAAAAAGGGACATTGACGAACAGGTGAAAGGGTTGACACAGCGCATTATCTATCTTTTAAGACGTCTCATAAGGACTTTCACCACGAGGTGAAAGGGTTGACACGTAGAATAGTCTAAGAATTATCTGGCAAGCAATTTTAGCTGAAGCAGCAGTTACTGCAACAAGGTGTCAAGTCTTCAGGAGTACCTGAAACGTGGAGCCAACGAGCCTGCCAGCGACAAGGAATTCACGGCCAGAGGGGGCAAAGCCGTGCCGCAAGCAGTAAGGGATCACGGGTGTACCTGAAACGTGGAGCCAACGAGCCTGCCAGCGACAAGGAAGTCACAGCCGGAGCGGGCAGGCCGTGCAGCGAGCGAGCAGTAAGAGATCACAGGCGTACCTGCAAGGAGGAAGTAGCGCACGAGCGTACCTGAAATGTGGAGCCAACGAGCCTGCCAGCGACAAGGAAGTCACATCCGGAGCGGGCAATACCGTGCAGCACATTCATCATGCTGCTGTGGCTGTTGCCGTAGTACTTTGCCTGGTGGGGGGTGAAGGGTGAAGGCCGAAGCGTGGAGGGGTGAAGGATGAAGCTCCTAGCACTGAAAGCACCTAGCACTGAAAGCTCCTAGCACTGAAAGCTCCTAGCGCCGAAAGCTCGTAGCACTGAAAGCTCCTAGCACTGAGCAGAACTCACGTCGAGCAAGCGAACAGCAGTGTCGTATCCAATCACAAAGGTGGAGTGCGGGAAGAGAGAGGCCTTGCTGGCAAAGAGAGGCAGGCGGGTTACCACCACCATGTGACCTGGGGGGAGGGGGCGGGAGGGGAGAAGGCGAGGGTGGGAGGGTGAGAGAGGGCGGGGGGAGAAGAGGATGGTGGGGTGGGGGGTGAGAGAAGGTGAGAGGAGAGAGAACGGAGTAAGTTGACGTGCTTTCTTGTGAGTCGACTCAAAAGTCAGGAGTAAGTTGACGTGCTTTGAGAACGCTGTATGTATTTTTTCTAGGCGCCTCAAAAACAGGTGTTAACATACCATGTGCAGTACATGCGGTATGTGCGTATGAGCATATGTGCATTGCATACCATGGGCAGTGAATTGGTGGACTCGCCTCTCCACCTCCTCCACGGGAATGGCTCCCTTGTCCGCGTTCCATGCCGCCATCTCGTAGCATGGGACTCCGCCTGGTACCTCCCTGCACATGCATGGGGTGATTGAAGAAGAAGCTTCAGCTGACTCTTTTTAAGGCGCCTCAAAAACTGAGACGACTTTTGAGGCGCCTCAAAACTCGTAGCATGGCACTCCGCCTGGTACCTCCCTGCACATGCACGGGGTGATTGAAGAAGGTTCAGCTGGGAGGGGTTCTAGACTCCAAATGCTTGAAGTACTCTGAAAAGATCTACTTGCTAAAAGAAATCGATTCACTCGAGTGACTCATTTTACTTAAAATAGCGACTAATTCAAATTACTCAACTTACCCGATCCACTTCAGTTAGTCGATTTACTCGAACTTGATTACTTGATTTAATCGTTCTGCTCAATTTACTTAATTTGGTTGAGTTACTCGACTTACTGGATTACTCGGTTTAGTCAAAATACTGAATTTCCTCGAATGACTCGAATAACTTGAATTGCTTGATTTACTTAATCTGATGCACGCCTTGCTTTTTAATATAGAAGGGTAAAAAAAAAACTTGAGTGGTTTAAATTACTCGATTCAAAGAACCTACTTGAATGCTCATTTTTCTGGATTTACTCAAATTACTTAAACCACTCAATTTACTTGAATAGCACGGTACTCCACATATTTTAAATTATCGAATTTCTTGAATCACCTGCTTCATTTGATTTACCCTGCCTCGATTCAAATTATTCACATAACTCTAATTACTCAATGTGCTAGTCGATTATTCGAACTACCCAATCTACTAGATTTACTAAAATCTCCCATTTTTTACTGGATTCACTCGGATTTCTTTGAACACATGATTTACACAATTCACCTATACCACTATACTCTATTTGCACTCACAGTAGAGCAGCTGCCATGAGGTCAGTGTGTCCTTGGTGCAGTGGGTTGAAGGAACCGCACAGCACCACTCTGCGCCCCTCCCCTGCTGCTCCCCACCTGCTCGCCCAGGTAGGGGCGGCTGAAACGTGAAGAGGAGGGAAGTGAAGGAGGGGAGGGGAGGAGGGGAAGGAGTGGGGAAACAGGTGGGAAAGTAGAGGGGAGTGGGCAAGGTGGGTGTGAAAGAGACACTTGAATCAGACATACAGGGGAAACTAAGTAAGTCTGCCAATAAGAGACAGAAAAAGAACCTCACAGCAAGAACCATCTGACTGACACTCGTACTTAACAAGAGCACACGACGCTTATCCAAAGCAGTCAAAGAAAGGTGACTACTCACTGAGTGTTCAGCAAGCAAGCAAGCAAGCAAACACAGGAAGAGCAGTCCTGATGGGCAATGGTTTCTCACCAAAAACAGCGTAGGGCACTGGGCCATCCAGCACCTCGTGCATCCCAAGTGGGAAGGGCGAGGTGACCACTCAGCAAGAGGTAAGCAAGCACGCACGCACGCACGCACGCACTCAAGCAAGGGTCCGTACCAAAAACAGCGTAGGGCACGGGGCCATCCAGCACCTCGTGTATCCCAAGTGGGAAGGGCGAGGTGACCACTCAGCAAGAGGTAAGCAAGCACGCACGCATGCACGCACGCACTCAAGCAAGGGTCCGTACCAAAAACAGCGTAGGGCACTGGGCCATCCAGCACCTCGTGCATCCAAAGCAAGCAGAGCTGGGATAGCAATCAGCAAGGGGTAAGCAGCACACATCACAGTGCACTGTGCACACAAGAAGGTTCCGTACCAAAGACAGCATAGGCCACTCGGCCATCCAGCACCTCCTGTATCTGCTCCCCCTGCCCCACCACTGCTGCTGCCTCCTCCACGCCGTCCCCCCGCCCCTCCCCCACCGCCACGCCCCCCGCCACTGCTGGTAGCCCCATACTCGCTGCTAGCACCTGGAGGGGAGGGGGGGAAAAGGGGGACGGGGGGAGGGGGAGAGTGTGGAGACGATGGAATGCTGTCTCCAGAGACAGATGTTTTTAGAATTCTCAAAAAATCTTCAGAGACAGCTACTACATACTGTCATGTCAGTGAATTATTTACAATGACCCTTGAGGCGCCTCAAAACTTATCTGAGATGACGGTGGAGCAGCTGGCACGCGACCAGATCATATCACATCTTCTCATATCACATCATATCCTTTCAAATCATATAATATCATATCATAGGATAGTAAATCATATTCTAACCGCACATGCGTGGATCAATCGGCGACTTTGGAGAATTCTAAAAAATCTTCTACATAGTCGAGGAAAAAGCTGAGTGCGAGACCAAGCAGGTGAGGTGAGACACTGCATCAGTCACATCACACATCACACATCACACATCACGTATCAGCACATACGCGGATCAGGAGGCGACTGGCCATGTCATCCTCTTGCTGCCGGGACCGCAGGGCCTCCTGTGGGTAAGGGGGGGCGTGTGGGTGAAGAGGTGAGGGGAATGAGTGGGAGGGCGAAGAAGGCCCGAGCAGGAGCGAGGGAAGCAGAGGAGGGGCTGGGGAAGAGGGAGTGACGAGGGAGAGAAAGGCGGGAATGTGGGGACAGGGAAGGGGAGTGCGTGTGGGGAGTGTTGTGAGTCGACTCAAAATGTGTGTGGGGAAGCCGGCAGTGATGGCGTGTGGAGAGGGAGAGCAAAGGAGGCGTCTGTGGCTTGGTGATACATGATAAAAGTTTCCTAATTAGAAGTTTCAAAACCCGAGGGTTACGGTATCTTGTTGACACGGCAGGGAGGAGGCGGGCCCTCTTGAATAGGTGTGAACAATATTCTCACAGCATGCCTTGCTGTTGACTTTGATTCGACGTTAAAGTCAAGAGGACAGGAAGGGGGGGTCACTCACGTTGGGTAGGTGCAAGCAGAGAGTATTCCCCCACAGCATGCCTTGAGAGCACATCGCTATGGAGGTTGTGTTGGGGGCCCACTCACCTTGGAGAGCAGCAGAGAGTATTCCCAGAGCATGCCTTGTCGACTTTGAGTCGACTCAAAAGTCAGCTCAGCAGGACAGGGAAAGGGGGACTCACTCACTCACCTTGCCACAGCATGCCACAGCATGCCACAGCATGCCACAGCATGCCACAGCATGCCACAGCATGCCACAGCATGCCACAGCATGCCTTGAGAGCACATCGCTATGGAGGTTGTGTTGGGGGCCCCCGACGACAACAGGGAGGGAGCAGGGGCATGCACACTCACCTTGGAGAGCAGCAGAGAGTATTCCCACAGCATGCCTTGTCGACTTTAAGTCGACTCAAAAGTCAGCTCAGCAGGACAGGGAAAGGGGGACTCACTCACTCACTCACCTTGGAGAGCAGCAGAGAGTATTCCCAGAGCATGCCTTGTCGACTTTAAGTCGACTCAAAAGTCAGCTCAGCAGGACAGGGAAAGGGGGACTCACTCACTCACTCACCTTGGAGAGCAGCAGAGAGTACTCCCACAGCATGCCTTGCGAGCGCGCTGCTATGTGACACCTGCCATGGAGGAAAGATGGAGGGGACCGGGCTGACATGACATGAGATGACATGAGATGACATGACATGAGATGACATGAGATGACATGACATGAGATGACATGAGATGAAACTGTGGGCTGTTGTGGAATGAAAGCCTTTGGGCTGAGTTGAGATAGATCGTGAGTCCTTTTATTCCACGATCACAACGACAACAGCCCACGGTGGGCGCCCCACCGGACCACCCTATCGAACACAGGTACACATGTCCACATGACAGTAGAGTAGACCTCATGATCTCCGCAAGGGGCATGGCCCAAAGCCCTGTTGTCACCGAATATGCACTTCGTGCATATGCGATAACAGTTGGTGCGCGGGTGTAGATGCAAGTGTAGATTCAGGTGTAGTCTTTGTATGATTACAATTTGTGGGTGAGTTGCTGGGGAGTATGGGGGGTTGAGGCGAAGTTGTTGGGAAGGGTTAGAGGAAACATCGAGGGGTGGGAATCTAACGAACCAATCTGAAGCAACTGGGCTTGGCTCGAGGCGCACATCGAGAAGTGTGCGACTGAGCCAGGTTCAGGTAAATTCAGTACCAAACACCCTCTCGTTGCTTTTCTCTTGTTATTCTCTCATATTAGTGGAAAGCTGTTACCTCAGATCTAACATCCGGTGGCACTCCACTATGGGAGGACCTACGGGGTGAGGGAGGAAACTCTTTCATAAGGTGGTGGCTGAGGCTGATCAACAACGTAAGGAGAAGGAAGGGAAGGGAGTGACAAGAGGAAGAGCAGGTTGCAAGGATGAGGTGGTTCTCCGACACTGTCCCATGCCCCATGTCCCGTATTGCATGGTCACGGCCCATAACCTACCCCCCACCATAATGCCTCATGTCCCATGCACCGTCCCGCATGCGCCTTGCGTTGCCCCCGGCACCATGCTGCTTGCATGGCGCATGCACAAGGTGGCAGGCAGCACCCTGCTTGTGAGTGCTGCCGCGCCACCTCAACACTCAAAAGCATGGCGCATGCACAAGGTGGCAGGCAGCACCCTTCACCTGGCCTCGGCCTATCTGCGAGCACCCTTCTTAGGAATGGGACGCATACGAGTGCACACGTGCCAACAACAAACCCATCGCGCCTCATGCCCCCACCTATGCCCCACATGCCCCACATGCCCCACATACCCCACATGCCCCACATCCCCCACATACCCCACATGCCCCACATACCCCATATGTCCCATGCCCCCATGGCCCCCCCGTTCCTCACATGCCCGGCCCACCTGTGTGCGCCTCTCTTTGGAGCACTGGACACCAGCGCACACGTGCAACCCACCCCCACCACCGGCTGTGCTGGTGGGGCCATTGGGGGGGAGTGGGGGGTGGTGGGACAACAGATGAGAAAGGGAGAGAGGGGGCGAGGGCGAGAGGGAGGCTGGGGAGTTTTGAGACGTCTCAGAGGTTTTGAGATTTGAGACGTCTCAAAACTAGAAAGGGAGAGAGGGGGCGAGGGCGAGAGGGAGGCTGCGGAGGGAGTGGGGGGAGCGGGGCAGGGGAGAAGGGACGGGAGGAGAGAGGGAGGGTAAAAGGTAACGACAGCAAGGGAGTTACGGATAGCAATGGGAGAAAGTACCTTAATGTGGGGTGGGAAGAAGGGGGGAGCATAGCAAGTATGGCGATGGGAGAAAGCAAGGGAAGTGAAGGGAAAAGGCATACCGATGGGAGAAAGGGAGAGTTGACTTTTGAGTCGACTGAAAAGTCACCTCGTACTGAAGGGAAAAGGCATACCGATGGGAGCAAGGGAGAGAGCTCGATTGTAAGAAGCGAAGGCGAGCTGCTGTGCTGCTGCTCTGCTCACATATTGCTGGCACAAGGGGCGGAAACATGAGGTACATGAGTGGAGAGGGAAGGGAAAGTGGACGTTATGCATCGTGATTCTAACGCAATGTGACTAGACTCAAGTACGATGCCACATCACATCACATCACATCACATCACATCACATCACGCCTTATGTGAGGCCAGCGTGTGTGGCGTTTACAACCCCACCATACCACCTCTTCCGCAGCACCCCTCTCCACCCAGCCGCATCTCCACAAACCACCAAAAATAACCTCCAAACCTTCTTCACTACCCACCTCCCGCCTCCACTGTCATTTTCGCTATGTCCCACTGCCTCTCAGGATCAGCTGCAACGTCCGGGTCCAGGTCAGTCCACTCCTCGTCCTCCTCCTCGTCATCCAAGCCCGCTGGCTCAACCACTACAGCCCAAGCGTATCGAACAGGCGGGACACCACGAGTGATGCGAGTGGAGCGACGCACTGGTGCAGTGGTCGTCCCAGAAACCAACACACGACCACCATCTCTAATTCCCCACATCTCCTGCTCCCCTGTCTGCGGCTCCCCTGTCTGCTGCTCCCCTAGCTGCTGGTCCACCATCTGCTGCTCCTCAATCCGCTCCTCCCCTGTCTGCTGCTCCCCAATCTGCTGCTCCCCTGTCTGCTGTACTCCATCCATACTGCTCTCGTCCTGCAGCTGCTCAGTCTCAAGGCGCTGCCCGTCGGTGATCTCCACAGACGGTGGCACCTCCATCCCCCCCCCACCAACGGGCGGCGCCGTGGAAGACGAAGAGGAGGGCGGAGCAGGTGCAGGAGGGATGGAGGGTGAAAGGGGGGATGGAATAACAGGAGGAGGAGGGGAAGGCAAGGGGGGTGAGGAGGAAGAAGGCGGGACAGGGGGAATCACACGAGGGTAGACTGAAGGCGGAGGTGGGGTGGGGACCGAGGTAGGGACATAGGGCATAGCAGGAGGTGCGACCACCTCCTCCTCCTCCTCCGCCTCCTCGAGAGTGATCGGGAAGAGTGAGGGAAGGGGCTCATAGGGCATCGAACGCCCCCCATGCTCCTGCTGATGCCAAGCTTTCCATCCTGCTAGGGACATGGTCTCATAGAACACAGTTTCCACAGTGGTGATGAGGCGGTTGGACTCCAAGTCCAGCACGGTCCAGCCTTTGCTCGCAGCTGACACACCCAAGTGCAACCCCCAGCGAGCCTTAGGCGCCAGCTTCCCCCCACGCTGCGACCGTGGTACCATGTACTGCAGCATGCAGCCCCAAACACGCACCATACTGACATCAGGTTTGCGTCGGAAGGCGAGCTCGTACGGCGTCACACCAGAGGGTAGTGAGGCGTGCTCCACGCGGTTGCGCACCCAGACGGCCTGAGCCAACGCCAGGTGCCACCAGTGATGCTGCACACCCATGTGCAGCAACATCGTCCGCACCGCCTCCACAATGCTGCGCATCTCCCTCTCGGCCATCCCGTTCTGCTCCGGCGTGTACGGGCATGTGAGGTCATGGATGATGCCTTTACCGTCGAGGAAGAGCGTGAAGTCGTGCCCCAGGAACTCGCCACCCCGATCAGTGCGCAGGGCCTGCACCGTGGTCTTGCACTGTCGCTCTGCCATCGGGAGCCACTTCTGGAACGCCGCCAGCGCATCACTCTTCCGGGCCAAAGGGTAGGCCCAGACATATCGCGTCTTTCGATCCTTTAGCACCAAGAAGTAGCGGCTGCCGTCCTTAGCTGCTTCACGGAAAGGGCCACACAGGTCAGCATGCACCACCCCGAGCAACTCATCCTCCTCCTCTCCCACAGAAGGAAAGGTATGACGAGTGATCTTTCCCCCAACACAGGAAACACAAGGTATGCCTGACTTGCCCCCCTTCTCCAAATCCAAGCCCTTTACTGACCCGTGAGCCGCTGTGCGCTCGATGGCATCAATACCAACGTGTGCCATACGCGCATGCCACATGTCCCCCTTAGACCGCACGCCCGTCGCCAAGGTACGGAGTGCCACCGTTTCGCCTTCCTGCTGCTGCGTCGAACACGGCTGGAAGTTCGTGCAGAGAACACGCCCCTTGAACTCCGCACGACCAAGAAGCGATCCATCTGGTGCTCGCAGCAAAGTCACATCCCCGGCATCCAGCAGCTGCACACCACATTCACGCAGCTGCCCAGCAGAGAGAAGACTCGCCTGCACTCCTGGTACGTACAGCACGTCCGGCACCAAGACACGCCTGCCCCCCTCTCCAAGAAGAGCGACTGTGCCCCGCCCCTGCACCTCCTGAAGCGCGCCGTTGAAGCCAGTAACCTGTTTAATACTGCCGCCGCTGCTCATCTCCACAAAGGCAGAACGATCTCCCATGAGATGGTGGGAGCATCCGCTATCAAGCAGCACGACGCTCGGGTTCGCCTTCACAGCAGCTGCAACAGCCTGTAAGGCCTCCCCGCCCTCAGGCTCTAGCACAACGAGAGGAGTCTGCTCCACAACGGGCTTCACCATCGCACATGATGATTGCCCGCTCCCCTTAGAGCCATCACCCCCCTTTTCGCTGCTACCTCCAGAACCCTCTCCACCGGTGTCTGCCTCCTTATCCGCCCGCTGCTGACAGTACTTAGCAACATGCCCTATTTGTCCACACACATAGCACTTCCCTTTGAAACCCCCTTTCCCCCTTTTCGGCTGGCCATCCTTACCCCCTTTCCACTTCTCCCCTCCCCCACTAAGCCCACCCCCATTCTTAGGTTGTTGCTGCTGTGCCGTAGTGGGAGGGGAAGGGAACGAATTCTGCTGGAATTGGGGCTTACCCTTCTTGGTAAAGACCTGGTTAGCCTGGGGAAGGAATTGGTCCTTTCGTCCCTCTGACGCCAGCGTACATTCCTCCTCGATGATGTAGCTAGCGAGGGTGTTCTCGTCCAACTCCTTGCGCACCTGCGGCAACTTCAGCATCCTGCGTAAGAGGTTGTACTGCTGCGGCAACCCCTTCACAACGTGAGTGATGTACGACGCCTGCGAGTAATCTACGCCGGCCATCCTCAGGTTCACTAGGATCTGCTGCGCACGGTTGCAATAGGACGTAGCGGACTCATGCTCTCCCATCTCGAGGTTAGTGAGCGCCTGCTCTAACTGACCGATGTACAGATCGTCCTTCGCCATGTACGTGCGCATAATAAACTGCCATGCCTGATAGCCGGCATCAACCTTCATGCGACACGCCTTAAGGGCGATCTGTACGGTTGGGGAGCAGCATCGGGAAATAGTGGTGAATGTCAGCAACTGCATCGCGCGGAACTGAGAGAGATGCGCAAGCGCACGCGCTGGTGGAATAGGGGTGGTGCCATCTATGAATCGCTTTAGCTGAGCGATCTCAAGCTGCGGCTCGATTGATTCTGTCCACGTCGACAGGTCGTGACGTCCTTCTAACGGACTAGTGACAACGATCTTGTCTGGAGTGAATCTGAAGTAGCCATAGTTGGGGGCTATTCCCTCGTCCCTCGACATCGATCCAATCGGGGTAACGCCCGGCATAGTCTCACTATCGAACTCTTCCGCAATTCCTCCCCCAGCAACGCTTCGCCGTCCTACATTCGCATGCTCTCGTGACGCTGCTGCACGATGAACACGCTCCTGTACACCGCCGACGCTAGCCGTACTAAACCGAGTTGGTCTTCGCAGGACCCCACGCGACATCAACCCATCAAACTCCTCGTCATCGCTATTTCCGCCATCGACAGCCATATCCCACGCACTAGTACCTCCCGCAACTTGCTCAACATTCTCTACACGTGGGGAAGGGTGCTCACGACGCCGACGCGAGCGCAATCCCTCCAACATTAGCTCGTATTCAATATCACTAATCTCACCACGAGAATGACGAGCCACGAGATCCTCCTCTAGAGTGCGCAAATTACCGGCCTCCACGTTCGCCTCCTCAGTACTCATCCTCTACGACGTCTCTATAAGGTACCACAAATTAAAATAAAGTGGCCCTTCCTTAAATCCCTCGTCTCGGGGTCACCTCACAAGGGTCCTCAGACGAGTGGTAATAAATTACCAAACGCCCTATCCTTGGGTCCGAGAACGTAACTGGAGGGAAATCAAGAGAGGTTCAACTTAGATTAATAAGCGCCCTTCACTAACGCCGCACGCCAAGGCGAGTATACGAACGCGAATATCAACGACGACGGAAATCTATGCGTGTTCGTTCCACGCTCACCGCACCATGCAGAGATAGCATTCCAGCCCGCTAACCGACTGGGATAAAAGGGCATGTTTTCGTTGGTGGGTCACCGCACCCATACCCCCCCAGGACAACACCTGTAGCCCTTAGGGAGACCACTGTGGGCCATTCCAGTGTTCACTTCCAACACGCTCACCCCACCTGTCTCGTTTGCTGCTTGCGCGATCCATCCACACCCTTTCCCTCCTCTCCTTCCGCTCCCCATCCCCCCTCCGCACTCCCCTCCGCCCGCCCGTCTTCCCCCCGCGCCTGCGCAGCCAGCTGCACCTGCGCCTGCGCGTGCCACGTGGCGTCCACGTATTGGTCGAACGCGCGCTGCGAGTACGGCAGCACAGCCTCCAAGACCGTCTGCGACGCGCCGGGAACCGCTACTAGCCATCCCACCGCCTTATATCGGGGATGGGGGCAAGACATTGGGGCGGTGAGTTGGGGAAGAGTGTTGCTTGTTGACAGAGGAGATTGACGCAATTGGCGGTACAACAGCAAGCGCCATAGGCGCCATTCGCGGGGCAAGCGTCACGATCCGAGCGGCAAGGGTAGAAAACGGAATTGGCGGAAACGGAGGCGCAAACGAGGCCGTTTTTAATTGACAACGCAGTAGCACGGCAAGGGCATCGCCAGAAACATTAGAGGGGTGCGCGTGGGATGAAGCAACCTACCTGCGACGCGCCTCCCGTGACGGCAAGCACGGCGCGCGCTGGCGCGGCGTGAATGGCGGAGATGGCGGAGAGAAGCGCGGGCTCCATGGGGGACGGAATGGAAGGCGCTGAAACGGAATCAGCGTGCACTGCAGCAGAATGCAGATACGAAAAGTGAAAGAGGCGTGAGGTGGAAAATCCTTAGGAGCATTTTCCCGCATGTTGAGTGCTTCGTGATTCTGGGAAAATCAGAGCACCTCCACTTGACACTTAGACCGACTAGTGAATGAATTACCACTGCCGAGGATTTGTTAACAAGGCAATTTTACATTAACATAGATAACAAGTCCGCTACTTTCTACAGTATGTACACTTGCAGAACTTCTGCACAATTCGGTTTGGCACTACCCAGGTCATGTAGATGTAAATGTGTTACCTACCATACATGAATTACCTACATCAGACATGTTCATACCCTTGGCTTGTATGCCGAGCAAAGGCTTTCAACTGGGGTGAGTGATAGGTTGCAGCAGCTGCATAGCAGAAAAGGAATCGCTCTCTTGAACGCCCAGAGTGAGCGGGTCGAACGTCACCTCGTTCCTAAGCTCCACCTGTGCAACGCCGCACATTAGAATGTCATTGCATATGGAGAACCCATACGTGCATTCCCCATCATGCATGCACTGACCAGGACGCTTCTAATCCAGACACTGACTGGGAAACATGTATACTACGCACTGACCAGAAGGCGGGGGTGCAGGGAGTCACAAAGCCCATGGGCAACGGCCGGGAAAGAGGTGACAGCCTCCACTGTGACACTGCGGTTCACCATGTCGCTCAGCAGCCGCTGCGCATTGGCTGCTGCTAGCTCCAGTGCCTGGGGGAGGAAATGTGTGAGGGAGAGAGGGAGAGAGGGAGCGATGGAGGGAGGGAGGGATGGTAGCCGGGGGAGGGGATGGTGGAGAGGGTTAGAAGTATGGTGGGGGTATTCCGATAAATTGCATGAACAGTGAAGCAAGTAACATAATCACTGAGGATTGAAGGAAAGAGCATTATCTGTGCATTACCTGAGATGCATCTGGTTTTCATTTTAGAATCAAGAGAAAACCATTTGAAACATTTAGAGGAAATTTTCACGAATTGACAATGCAAGGGCGTGAATGCTAGAAAACAAGGTAGGGGGGTAAAGCAAGGGAGACGGAGGAGGAAGGGGTGGGGTGGGGGAAAGGGGAGAAAAGGAAAGGGGGGAGGGCGGGATGAGGACAGGGGAACAAAGACTTGCACTCATGGTGGCAGATAGCTCCATGACCTTGTTGTCCCGAGGCATGAACTGCCCCGCTCCCATGTTACTCTCGCCTATCTGTGCTCCCCATGCCACTCCACATCACATGCGCATCTCCAACTCCATCACAAGCACACCACCACACACCATCGCACAACAGCATAGCATTTGGCGAAAATATTAAGTAGACAGCTACCCCACCTTTATCCACCGCAGTCAACTTCTCCGCTGGGCACTCGCACTCAAACCACAAATCACCATCTCAGGACGACAACGTCACCACCATCTCATCAAGTCAAGACATCAATCCAGCAAAACGCAGGACATTATTACAGCCGCACCGCACAGCACTAGCTCTGCCACAGACCTGCAAGTTGGCTGGTCATATAAAACAACAAACACAAACCCTCCGGCCCTCCCCTTCCCCATCTTACCACCGCATCGCCCACTGCCCTCTCTCCTCTCCCTCTTCCCCCTCCCCTCCCCTTCCCTTCTCCCTCCCCTCCCACTCTCGGCCCAAGCAGCATGCTGGGTTCTCCTGACCTTAGTGCCGTCGTAATAGATGGCGACGGTGGCAGCGGAGTAGGAAACGGGCATGTAGTTGGGGTTTTGTGCACGCACGCGCAGATGCAGAGATAGGTCCAGGGACAGCACAGGCAGGCCCAGCTGAGAGGGGAGAGGGAGAGAGGAGACGGGGATTGGAGAGTGGGAGGGAGGAGGTGGGAAAGGGGGGCGGAAAAAGGGGGTGAGGGGAGAGGGGAGGGGGGAGAAAGAGTAAGGGAATGGAAAGACGTTGAGTGTGACAGAAGACGGTCCGGATGCGAGGCGATGTTAAGGCAGAAACAAGGTAGATATATAGGAGGTAAGTGGAACGATAGCGCAGGGCAGGACGGGTGGCAGAAGAAACGGTGAGGGGGGAACGGGGAACGGCAACGATCTGAAGGACATTCAGAATCGGTTCTCTAAAAACGGCTCTAGGATACCTATACAGACAGCTAGCGGGTGGGGGGGGTATGAATACGCCTTTGTGGTGACATGCACACTGACGCCAGTGATGCTCATCTCTTCCACCTGCGCTCATTCCAACGTGGCATGCACCATTACGGTAAGGACAGAACACACACACGCTCGAACTCTTGAACGGACCATTACATCGATTACACTCGTCGTCACGCTTGCCCGAATCCGAGATAAAACAGCCTTGACAAGCGAAATCAAGTACGCGCCGACAAGGAATAGAAGGGGGAAAAGAGAGCAGTGAGTGCGGATGCACCTTGACGACAGGGTTTCTCGGCCATAGCCGGTACACCAGAGCGCCTATTGCCGACGACACGATCACAGCGGCCACCACGGCTCCCGCTATCGCTCCTGCTGCCGCCATTCTCCCGCTCCTATGGAGTCTACTGATCGCTGAAGCAACGATGACAGCGAATCTGAGAAGCTGTCGTCGCGACGGTTATGCAGCCGTTCGTCGCTACGAATCTCGCCGGCTGATGAAAGTTCAACCCTCCGTGCCGTGCTTTGAGCCCTCCCCTGCAACTCCCTCGCCGAGACATGACGTTCGCGTGTTCGTCCCCGGGAGCTGATATGCGCGGAGATTGATACAGTTCAGCTGCGTTTCGACGCCACGACGACAGCAAGTTTCGAAGCGAACTTCACGGAAGCAGTTGCCTCGGCCATGCATGGCAATGCTTTAGTAGCAGTGACGTGGCGTCCAAAGATTTCGCCATGGCTGAGCGCTCAGAAATCCTTGAGCATACAAGTCCACTTTTCGTGCAGGAGAAGTACGCGGAAAGAGCAACTTCGGCAAGCCACAATGAGTACGTCTAGTCGTACACCTGACGATTCTTTAAGACCCTGTCAACAATAGACAAAAACCCCATACCGTAAGAGATAGCAGTGGGAATGTCATTATGGGGCTCTTTGAAAATGTCAGAGTTCTAATAGTGTCAGTACTGTTCCGAGCTTCAATATTCTACCATGGACTAATTAAACATGGAAAATGATATGGTAATCCCATTCACATTAGAATACAAGTGATACATGCTGAAAGAATGGACTGGACGTCAAGAGAGCGCGTGACCAGCTAAGGGTTCGATAAATTGCAGAAGAGCTTCTATAGGAAGCAAGAATGTTAAATGAGGGAGATTCAGACTGAGTCAGACAATAGAAACAGTGGATGTGCTGCTTCCTCCTGGGTCCTCCTGACCGCTATCTGAGCACGGTTTAAGTGGAAGATCTTACAATCGGGAACGGGGACACGAATCGCCGCATGAGAAACGTGGAAATGCGGGAAAAGGGCGACTCGGCAACATGCGGCGGTGAACTGCCAGAGCACGTGAGCCCATGAGCAGATGCAGACAAGGATGAAGAGGATGTGTCTGAGGGAGCAGCAGCAGATGTGTGCGACACATCATCTGCATCAGTAGGCCCGAACGTGAAAGTGGGACCAGTTGGGGTAGTGGAATCCGGAATCCCTGACGCTCCAGTTGCTTGTGAAGAGCTAGCACCAGGCAGAGTAAGCGTCAGGTTCGTGCTAGCGCCAGCTGCTTTGCCTGGCGCAGCTCCCCTTGCCGCGAGCATTGCTGCAGAAGCAGTCGCTTCCGACACAGTCATCCCCACAAAGCCTGCTGCACTCAAAGAGCGGGACATGGACCTACAAGAAGTGGCAGTAACAGCAGGAGTACCAGAAGCTGCACTCCTAGTCTTGGTTAAAACACCACTGCGGCGACGGACGTCACTGCAGCCAATGGGATCATCTGAAAGTCGAGGCTTTCCAGCGCTGCTGCCTGCTGCTGCGTTGCTCAACCTTCCTGCCGCCACTGCCATTGCTGCAGTTGCTACCGAGGAGCTTGGTCCTGGGCCAGCAGCGGGTGAAGCTGCCGTGGCTTGCGCAACTTGCTGTGCCTCGACTGCTGCTCCATTCGCAGGAACAGCAACAGCAGCACCAGTAACAGCAACAGCATTCTCAGCGGCAGCAAGAGCAGCAGCAGCATCAGAATCAGCGCCATCCGTTGAGCTGTCAGCGACGGTGATGGCCCATAGCTGAGTGGCATGGAGCAGCCTGAGGGGCAAGGCGTGAGTAGGGCAGGCAGGAAGGTAAGGCAGTGAGCACGGTGGACAGGGATCAACAGAGGGAATGAAAAGGCACTAATTCAATAAAATCGTGAAGGGGAAATGAGGAATCGGAAAACGGCACTGGTCACGCGGAACGGGAACCCATCCTGGACTGCTCGGAGCGCCAGCACCACGCATCGCGCTGCCAGGCTCGCCCAAGGATAATAACAGCTAATTCGGGCCTAGCGTACCTTTCACGAATGGCGTCAAGTTCCGAGTACTCCATGGCGTTCCGGCGCCTCGAACTCGCCGACAGCCGCGACGACCGCCGCCTGTCGCCAGTGCTGCTGCGCCGATCGCTCCGGCTAGGATCCATTAGCGTCGCACTCCATTCCGACTCGTCGCCGTCAGGCCCGCTGTCAGTTGCGCCGCGACTTCCGCATGCCTGGCTCTGACCGACACCCGCCGCGCCGCCTCCCTTTCCTCCTCCCCTGGCGCTGGCGGTGACGTTACGACCTCCACCCCCTGATCTTGCGGCGTCCTCTGCGCTGAGCATCCACGCGTTAAAATCCTCGTCCTCCTCCTCCGCTGCCTGATTGCCCGCTGCATTCGTAGTAGTAACGGCCGCCGACGCCGATGCCGATGCCGAAGCCGTTGCGGCCGCCGCTGCTGCTGCCACCGCGGCGCCTAAAGCAAGTGGATTTCCCGCATGGTAAGAAGGCTTGAGGCTAGTAGCACAAACAGAAACGGGCTTCGAGGTTGCGACGACTGGCGCGGGTCGAGTGTACGAGGTCGAAGTGCGGGAGTAGGTAACAAGCCAATCATCATCTCCCCCGTCCTCCCCCTCCTCTTTCTGCTTGTCGTCGTCGTCGCCGTCGTTTTCGTCGTCGTCGTCGCACGGAGCGACGTGTTGGTTGCGGAAACACCCGCCGTGACTTTTCGACCGCCAAACACCCCCGCCGCCGCTGGTCGCGCCGTCGGATCGATGCGCCGCCGCCGGCACGGTTGGAAGCGGCTGCCGCGGCGGTTCTTTCGTTGACAGATGACGCGGCTCCGTGGTTGTGGGGCGGAGAGTCGGCGAGCAGAGAGCGGCAGCTGGTAGCGCTATTTGCGGGACGTTAAGAGAGGAAAGCGAGAAATCTCCGGTGCCCGAGACGGATGCATGGAGAGGCGAATGATGGCGAGGGGGGAGATGGTGATGATGCGCTGTTGCGGAGGTATCGTTGATCGCACAAGACGGAGACATGATGGCCGCGAGCGAGATGATGCTGGCTGCACCAAATGCGCCCTCCTCTGGCTTATATTCTTCAACCTTCAATCGGTGCGGAATATAGCGCTTGCGGACTACCCACCGAAGAAGGGGTACTGGTTACGGATAGAGAAATCCTCGCGGCCAGATGCGTCGTCGACAGACGATCCGCCGGTGGACTCAGAACCCAAACCGTGAAGGACAGCAGCAGCCTGCCGTTGAATGATCGAAGACTCGTTGGATGGTCGGCTGAGAAGACGAGAAGACGAAGACGAGATGGCGAGATGGCGAGATGGCGAGATGGTGATCGATGGCAAGATGGTGCAACCGAGCTGACGCGTTGTTGGAGAGTAGGTGGGAAATTATTGCTAAATACAAGGTACCTCGTCGTCGCTTTGATGCTCCAATTCCTCGGAGGAAGGGTTGACAGAGGTTCTGAAAATGGATGGCTGCTGTAGGGAACACCTTTGGATCGCCGCGAAACGAGTGGAAGCCGTTTCAGAACAAGGACACTAGCCTGATCTTGAACGTGCCCGGTTGGACACCTTCAAAGAGTGGAGCACAGTGGAGCAGAGGAGGTTCAGTCCAGACGAGAGATTCGCTGTGTGGTCGAGAACCCAGAAGAGAAATGTGAGGTCCTTTAAGAGCGAGGACTGAGGCCTGTTGAAGTGGGCAGCAGACTGTTGCCAATTGGGCATTGATGAATGAGCAAGCTGAGCGGAGGAAATGCTGGGGTGGGGGTCGGGGGAGGCGGAGAAGGGGGAAGCGGGGAGTGTGAAAGAGTTGAGGTTGAGGGAAAGGGGATGGGGGTCGATGGGTTGGTAGGGGGGGGATGGGGAGGTTGGGGGAGATGGCGGCGCGAGGTTGTGTAGAGGCGAGGAGGAACGAAGGTCCATTTCCGATTTCAAAGGGCCCTTTCTCAGTCCAATCGAGTCCCGTAAAACTAGGACACTTGCGCAGACGAGCGGCGGAGAGGCGAGAGGACATAGATGAATGGGCTTGTTAGCCAATTGGGAGAGAGACAAAGGTCCACCTGGACGGCCACGGATGTGCACCCTATCTCCACACATCAGCAACAACATCAGCCCATTTGGGTGAGAGATATTGAGGCCAGAGCATCGGATGCGAGATCCAACACTAGACCGTGTTACAAATGAGGCTGGTTGAAAAGGGCGTCCTGTCTGCGCAACTGACTACCGAACAACGACAACGTATGCATGCATTCACGAAAGGTTTCACTGGACAGGGGCTTTTTATTTTAGGACTCTCCCGCTCCGTAATTATTGTATGAACTGGCGGGAACGCACAACTGTCAGAGATGAAGACCTCCTAGAGACAGACTTGAGAAGACAACGTTTGGACGGATAGCATAGATGCTGGTGTCAAAATAAACCAATCAAGACTTTTGCTTCACAGGGAGGAAGGGTCACGCGGAACTGTACATGCAGGGGCAACAAGAGGGAAGCGAGGCAAACGGAAGCTTCAAGACGTCAAAATCTGCCACTACACCCTGTTTCGCGCCAAACTGACATTCGCCATATTGATAAGCCGGTTGTACTAACATCAATGCGTCCAAATTGGTCCCAGAACATACCGTATAAGTACTTTGCCGCACGAAACCGAACTCAGAAGCACTTTTTTTTCATCAACCGTTGTCTACCGTTCTCCTGAAGTGCATTTCGGTTGCAAGCACCAGCCCGCTGAATCCAGACACACGTGCGCACTGTAGGCGGGGCTCCCGATTGTTCAAACATCGAGAAACAGGGTGTACCACACGAGGCGGGTGGCTGGATATGCGACTCAGTCCCGTCCCGCCACATAAAAAAAGGGTACTCTTCCCCATCGATTGCAAAGTTTTCGCCACAAGGAAGCTCCAATCGCGAACATTCAAACATATCCTATAAAATTTGCGAGTCAACATGCTGCCTTGATCTGACCAAATAGAAAAAGAAACCTCGCAAGGGAATCTGATGCTGAAATGAGATTGGACCACCTCAGCCACTGGATCCATCACTATCGTTATTCTTCTCAGTGTGGGATTCTGATGTGTCACTGTAGTCGCTGCTTTGGCTGCCTGCCAGCCTGCTGGTCAACTGCACAGTTTCTGTACACCCTTTTTCTCGCCACACTGTTATTGACCATATTGATGGCCTGGCTGTACTGGCATCAATGCGTCCAGAATGATCCCAGAACAGACCACATATGCACACTACCCCGCACTCAACCGTATGCTAAGACAAATTTTATTTTATATACCGTTGTGTACCGCCTAATGGAGTGCAAGTGTCCGCCACCTACCTGGGCTTCGGTTGCAAGCACCAGATCGCTAGTGTCAAAGCAAAAGTACGCACTGTAAACAGAGCTTCCCATTGTCAGTCTGGCGAGAATAAGGGTGTAGAGGAAATCTGAAAGCAGGCGTGACAACATCGAGGAAGGAGGGATGTATGCCGTGCCATCATAGCTGATGCAGTACAGCCTGGCACAACAAAATATCTTCTGACACAACATCCCTTGCAGTGCAACGCAATATTCTCGTTTCCTCCTGTTGAACTCCGAATGCACATCAAGGAATATACTACAATGCTTTCTATGCCATGCTATTACGGGTGGAATGGAAAGAGATGGCGAGGATTGCACTAGGTGCTCAAAAGATACAAGGGTAAGTAGCATTAGCAGGGGTACTACTAACGACCCTGCGCTTTCAAGGGGACTACAGTTCTAGTTGCGGGCACTTTCCGCCCCTCCGTCACTCCGACAGGAAAGTTATGGCAACAACACAGAACTCGGTCCCAAATTCACCCACGTGTCACAAATTCAGAAAGTTAGAAAACGCACGGCAAAAACAGAAAACCCATATGGAACATGGACTCATTTTCGGGAGGGATCAACCCTAAACACAGGAACCCACATTTTTTTCAGGGTTGATGCCTCCTCGAGACGCATCCCTTCTCGATTGGGTTTTAGTTTTTTTCCGGTCAAGTAAAGGGACAATTTTTCCAATGGTTTCAAAATTCTGACACGTGGGTGAATTTGGGACCGAGTTCTGTGCTTTTGCCATAATGTTCCTACCGGAGTGGCGGAAAATGCCCGCATATAGCACTTAAGTCCCCTTGAAAGCGTAGAGTCGCTAGTAGTACCCCTGCGAACGCTACTTACCCAAGATACAACGTATGAGCGAATGCATGAGCGAATACTTCTGTAAAAAAAACATGCAACGTTTACGCGGTGCGTGCGAGCTAGCTAGTGCTCATCAAACTAATATTCCAGTAGCTGCCTCACGAGCAGAGTATGTACCGGCTCGAGTCTCGCGGTAGCTTCATCTTTATCGTCGCCTATGTGGACGACCTGCTATAGACCGCGGACAACGTGGAGCTCCTTGATCGCTTCAAGCATAACATCGAGCAGAAGCTCGAGGTGACTGTCAATCACAACGTCACCCAATTCCTCGAGCTTAACGTGACTCTATCGGCCGACACTATCCACCCGTCGCGCGAAGTACCGTCATTACCCGGATATACCCCCAGGCCTATGTTACACCCATGCGGTTATAATCGTACTAGAGGGCATATAGCCGGTTGCCGATTATCCCACCCCAATTTCTGTCAATCTTCGTATAAGCGCACCCAATGAGTTGTGGTTTTTTTTTTTTTGTAGCGAAGTAGCCACTAACGCGCCTAAACAAATCGTCACAAACGCGCGTAACTCTCAAACTTATATCCTATGCTATAGTCTGTGTAGGCTGTAGTGGGGTAGACGATATGGGGTACAACACCTCTAGGTTTTCCTACTTGTACCCACCAGCTTGCTAGTTCATTCATTTTTTCCTCAATTCTCACATGGTATAGAGCAGGTTCCTTAGTGGGAACTTCATAGGGCCCACCACTGAACATCGATTTTTTTTCTTGCCCTGAGGTCGAATCGCCCCTAACCGAGGCGCGCCCTGTGTGCCGCCCTCCCCTTAGCGACCCGTCGCGCCGCCCTTAGCGGCCCTCCCCCTCTCTCTCACGGCCCCTCGCGACCCCGTCGCCGCCCTCCTAGCGGCCCGTCGCGCCGCCCTCAGCGGCCCCTCCTCCACGGCCCCGTCGCCGCCCTATCGCGACCCCGTCGCCGCCCTCTTGCGGCCCCATCGCCGCCCTCTTGCGGCCCCGTCGCCGCCCTATCGAGCCCCGTCGCCGCCCTATCGCGGTCCCGTCGCCACCCTCTCCGGGCCCCGTCGCCGCCTATCGCGGTCCCGTCGCCTCCCTTTCGCGGCCCCGTCACCGTCGTTCGCGATCCCGTCGCCGCCCGTCGCGGCCCTGCAGCCACCCCTTGCGGCCTCGTCGCCGCCCTCTCGCGGCCGCGTCGCCGCCCTCTAGCGCCTCCCCCAGTGCCGCCCTCTTGCGGCCTCGTCGCCGCCCTCTCACGGCCCCGTCGCCGCCCTCTTGCGGCCTCGTCACCGCCCTTAGCAGCCCCGTCGCCGCTCCTATCGGCCCCGTCGCCGCCTCTCACCCTACGCGGCCCCGTCGCCGCCCCTCAGCGGCCCCACTACCGCTCCTAAGTGGCCCCGTCGCCGCCCCTAAGCGGCCCCGACGCCGCCTCCTACGCGGACTTGAAGCCGCCTCCACCGAGCCCCCCAGCAGCAGAGCCGCCGAGCCGCCCAATAGTAGAGCCCTCGAGCCGCCCAGCAGCCGAGCCGCCTAGCGGCCGAGCCGCTCGACAGCCGAGCCGCCCAGCAGCCAAACCGCCGAGCCGCCCGACCGCCGAGCCGCCCAGCAGCCGAGCCGCCGAGCCGCCCAACAGCCGAGCCGCTGAGCCGCTACCATTCCTACCGACGCGCCCCGGCCCTACTTACTCGTACTGGTGAGCCCACTCCTTGCTAGACCTCTGCAGTCATGGCTACCCCCAGTGTTCTTACCTTTGACACTGAGGGCCGTGCTGTTGACTTTGAGGTCTGGCTCGATGACCTCCAGCTGTTCCTCCTGTGCGATAGGGCAGACGGCCTCTCTCTGTTTGACCTC